AAATTACAGACCAATATCACTGATGAACACAGGTACAAAAATCCTCAACAAAATACTAGCCAGTCGAATCCAACAGTACACTAAAGGATCATACACCATGATCAAAAGGGATTTGTCTCAGGGATGCAAGGATTTTTCAGTATCCACAAATCAGTCAGTGTGATACACCACATTAACAAATTGAAGAATAAAAACCATATGATCATCTCAGTAGATGCCAAAACCGATTTTGATAAAATTCAGTATCCATTTATGGTAAAAACTCTCCAGAAAGTGGACATAGAGTGAACGAACATACCTCAACATAATAAAGGCCAAGTATGACAAACCCACAGCTAACATCATACTCAATGGTGAAAAGCTGAAAGCATTCCCTCTGAGATCAGGAACAAGACAAGGATGTCCTTCTCACCACTTTTATTCAACATAGTTTTGGAAGTCTTAGCCACAGCATTCAGAGAAGAAAAAGAAATAAAAGGAATCCAAACTGGAAGTAAAACTGTCACTGTTTGTTTGTGGGGTGTTTTTTGGTGGCGTTGGGTCTTCGTTGCTGCGCTAAGGCTTTCTCTAGTTATAGCCAAGTGGGGGCTACTCTTGGTTGCAGTGCATGGGCGTCTCATTGCGGTGGCTTCTCTTGTTGCAGAGCATGGGCTCTAGGCACATGGGCTTCAGTAGTTGTGGCACATGGGCTCAGTAGTTGTGACTCGCAGGTTCTAGAGCACAGGCTCAGTAGTTGTGGTGCACAGGATTAGTTGCTCCACGGCATGTGGGATCTTCTCAGAGCAGGGATCGAACCCGTGTCCCCTGCATTGGCAGGCAGATTCTTAACCACTGCGCCACCAGGGAAGTCCCAAAACTGTCACTGTCTGCAGATGACATGATACTGTACATAGAAAGTCCTAAAGGCTACCGGAGAACTATTAGAGCTCAGTAATGAATTTGGTAAAGTATCAGGATACAAAATTAATATACAGAAATCTGTTGCATTTCTGTACACTAACAACGTATCAGAAATAGAGATTAAGGAAATAATCCTATTTACCATCACATCAAAAAGAATGGATGCTACTTTTAATGTTTTTAGTTTGATACTGAGTGAATTGGTTAAAGTTTTAAGGTTGGTAGGGTCATGCAGAGCAAGCATGGACTGGTAAGAAACAGTAGGATCTGGAGACCAAGGCTTCAGAACATATAAAATAACAGACAATTGGCAGTGTCAAGCGTAAGCTGTTCTGGAAACAGAGAGGGTTGGGCCAGGGATAGTGGCCCTAGGATAACCGTGAGTTCTGCTGGTGTGTGGGTTGAAGTCAGGCCATATAAATTATGTGAATTGTTGTAGGTAGGTAGGTAGGTGGAATCTTCAAGTTTAGTGGGAAGGATCAGTAAATGCTCAAGTTAGGTGACATTAAATTAAGAATATTATTCACAGGACAAACCTGTGTAACCAAAGACATTTAAAATATCACTCGTGCCCCAGAGTGCCTTACAGTGACTGAGCCAGTCATCTGGAGTGTCTGGGTGCCTGGGGTGTATTAACCAGCAAGAGTCCTGCCAAATTGCCTGTCAGTTAATACAGCAGAACATTTGAAGATTCATATTGTTCATATAAATAGAGAAAAGGCAGGCCTTACAGTAAACTAATTTACTCCTGATGTTGCCAGATACTGCCCTCCATATTTAGTGATGCTCTACATAATTGCCAAAACCTTTCCAAGAAAGCTTAATGTGAAGGGGTAAGCATTAGATACCAATACCGAAAGATTTTACTGAGGAGGAGAGGTTGTTCAGGTAGAAAGTAGAACATATGTGAGGGCTGGAACTATTTAAAAATATGTATATGACTTTCTACAATGAAAGTTCCCTTGAACATTTCATCTTTCTCCACTTTTCATTTAGACTAGTTTTTTTGTAATTGGTGAGGGTCCTCAGGTTCATTTGTTTGAATAACAGCTATGTTATGGTTTTCGCAATGCCATCATCCCTGTGTATCCTTGGGGGACTGGTTCCAGGAGACCCGCCGATACCAACATCTGTCTATACTCAGGTCCCCTGTATAAAATGATGTAGGATGAATACAGTTGAGTTTCACAGCCCTGGATATGGGAAGGTCGACAGTACAGTTGTAGTAGTTGACTACTTTTCCTGCCCTCTTAACCTCCTTTGATCACTAGTAAAGAGTACACAATGAATTTAGAGCCCAAACTTGACTTTGGATAAAGTTTACTAATGCCCTTACTTATAAATTTAAGTAATTGATTATTTTTAAAATGTTACCAGGTTTTTTAGTAAGTCCATTTTTCTGATTAATGAGGCAAGAGTCTAGGGTAACTTACACAGTCATGATATAGAAAAGTTACTTTCTCTCTGTTGTGTTTGTTACCACTAGAGATTTTTTTCCCCCATGAAAAGTATAGGGAGGCCAGTAATCTCTTTCTTTGATTCAGATTTTAAAACTGTAAAAGAAGCTTGGTGCAAAATCATTACAGGCCTGTGTTTGGAAGTGAAAATATTTATGTATAAAAACTTCTGAAATGATTTTTTTGTGTAAACTTCTTGTAAGGTCAGGAACTATTATTCAGTTACAAATTAATCATTTATGTTGTTCTTTATCAGTGCATTCTTTTTTAACTAGTAATATTTGTTAGAGCAGTTGTAGTTTTATAGACAAATTGAGTGGGCGGTGCAGAGAGTTCTTCCTACAGTTTCTGCTATTATTAACATATTGCTTTAGTGTGGTACATTTGTTACAGATTATGAGCCAATATTGATACATTATTATTAACTGAAGACCATAGTATATATGGTTCACTGCTTGTGTTGTATATTCTGTGGGTTTTGACAATGTATAATGACATGTATCCACCATTTTCCTCAAACTCAGAGGTTGCTTCCTCAGCCATGTCCAGTCTACTAATCAGCCCATCAAAGACATTCTTCATTTTTCTTATCGTGTTTTTGATCTCTAGCATTTCTTTTTACTTTTTTCTTAGAATTTTCCATCTCTCTGTTTACATTGCCCATCTGTTCCTGCATGCTGTCTGCTTTATCTGTTAGAGCTCGGAGCATATTTATCATAGTTGTTTTAAATTCCCAGTTTGATAAATCCAGCATGCCTGCCATGTCTGGTTTGCATGCTTGCTCTGTCTCTTCAAGTTGTGTTTTTTGCCTTTTAGAATGCCTTGTAATTTTTTTCTTGGTAGCCAGACATGATGTACCCAGTGAAAGGAACTGCTGTAAACAGGCCTTTAGAGATGTGGCAGTGAGATGTGGGGAGGGAAGCCTTCTGTATTCCTATGATTAGGTCTCAGTTTGTTAGTGAGCCTATGGCTCTGGACTGTGAACTTGACAAATGTTTCTCAGGTTTCTTTCTCCCTCCCTAGGTGGGACAGGATGGCCGGAGTGGGCTGGAGTTGGGTGTTTCCCTTCCTTGGGTCAGTTAGGCTCTGGTTAACTAGTTTCTCCTGAGGGCAGGCCTTATTAAGAACAGACTGTTTTGGGTATTTCAAATTGTTGAAATTCATTTCTCCTCCCCCTACCAGAAGCCAGAGGGGATTCTTCTCTCATATTTACTGTGGAAACCTGGTTGAGCTCCTGGAGGAAATCTCACAATATTGAGGGGATCCCCCTATGACTGGGTCCCCCTGGAGTTTTTAACTCTCAGAGTTGTCCACGCTGAGATTTTCCTACCCTCGCACTGATTCACATGCGGTTTCCACTTGTGAGTCTCTTTCAATCAGCTGCAGCTTCCTGTGTTCTCCTGTTGATCTCTCCAATCCTGGGGGCATTGCTTTGCTCTGTGTTCTCTGCAAGGGAAGCCAACTAACCCTTTTTATGGTATGTTGAAACATACATTTGAAATGAATCTTTTATTTCACCTTAGAAAAAAAAGGCTTTGAAAAAAATTACTATTAGAATATAGTTAATTGTAAAGACCTAGAAAATACCTAGAATTCCTAGCAGATTTTTACTTTAGAATATAGGGATCACAATACAATAAGAGCTAAATTATTGAGTCTTTACCCTTTACCACACACAGTTCTAGATGCTTACAAGCCATTAATTTATTTAATCCTCACAGCAATCTTGTTATGTAAGGTATTTTTATTATCCCCATTTTATAGATGAGGAAGCCAAGGGTTAGAGAAATTACAAAACTTTCCCAAGGTTTTACAAACTAGCACGTGGCAGAGCTGGGATTTGACCACCATATTTCCTTGTGAGCTCACGCTTTAAAATGAGAGCTAGATTTGGAGGAAAGGATACTTTGTAAATGATTAGTTTTCTTTTTTTTTTTTAAGTTTTTAAGTCATTGATTATACTAATAGTACCCCCTCCCCCCCTTTGGAGGAGTGGGTATATTTGTGAAATCAAAGAAAGGGTTTCTTTTTCAGTTTTAAGAATTACTAATTTCACTGGTTTCTGGAAAGGAATTGAGGGTATAAAATAGTGTAACTTGATCCGCAAGTAAATTGCTTACATAGAATTCAGAGTTATCTATTCAGACTGACCAGCATTTAAGATTTCCTTGTTTAGTCTTTAGTTTTCAATTAAAGCAGCTTCCCCTCCTTACCCCATTATGTCCTAAAGCCCTCTAATGTTTTACATAATACATTTAAGTGTGTGAATAATAACACCATGTACTTTATCTGATTTATGTAATCAAAAGGTTTTACAAATTTCAACACTGATAGTCTTATTACCAGATAAGGAATATATAGATGTTTAACTCTAAAACACCCCCTTATAAAAACAGAAGTGATTCAGCCGAGTGTACAGTAAGGCTACCTTACTGCCTGTGCTTCCACTTTGTCACTCAAGTACAGACCACTTCCCCAGGAGAGTTTGTTTGGGTTTGTCTTGTTAGTTCTTGCCTTTAGGAAGTACACTTGGTTTTCTCCTTCATAGGTTAGATTAGGAAAAACCCTCTTCTTTTTTAAGCAGTTTGAAACTATGGTAATAGAATGTGGCGTTAATGGGTTTTCTTTGTAACCTCCAAACAGAGCAACATTTTGCAGATGTCGTACTTAGTGAAGAATTTCTCAACCTCGGCATTGAACAAGTGTGCAGCTTAATCTCGAGTGACAAACTTACCATTTCTTCAGAAGAGAAAGTAAGTGTATTTTTCTTTTCCCAGTGTACAGTGATATAGTAGTTTTCCTTTCTTTCACTTTGTTTTGTAACTTTGTGATCCTGTATGTGTAGTGACAGCCAGTGATCTTTGATCTGGAAGTTGAGAAACTCCGCTAGTTGACTTGTTGGTTGTGTAAATAACTGTGTTCTCACCCCTTAGGAGCTTCCCTAAATGGTTAGACACCAGAGTTTTGTGCTTGACCCCACAGCAAGAGCTTGCATACATTGAACTATCTGAAACAAAGGGCCTTTGGGGAACTGGGTTTCTTCTCACAGCTAGATACCAGGGAAAATTGTGATCTAAACATAATATTCTCAGACCTCCCTGGTGGCGCAGTGGTTAAGAATCCACCTGCCAATGCAGGGGACATGGGTTCAAGCCCTGGTCCGGGAAGATCCCACATGTCGTGGAGCAACTAGCCCGTGCGCCACAACTACTGAGCCTGTGCTCAAGAGCCTATGAGCCAAAACTACTGAGCTTGTGTGCCACAACTACTGAAGCCTGCATGCCTAGAGCCCGTGCTCCTCAACAAGAAAAGCCACCGCAATGAGAAGCCTGCGCACAGCAACAAAGAGTAGCCCCCGCTCACGCTCAACACAACTAGAGAAAGGCCGCATGCAACAACGAAGACCCAATGCAGCCAAAAATAAATTAATTAATTAATTAATAAAAAGAAGCCACTTCAAAAATAAATAAATAAATAAACATAATATTCACAAACCAAAGTAATTTCACCATCATGTGAGTTGGACGAAGTCACCCAGGTGGCAAAGTTTAGCTAGTTCCAGACTGACCTCTTCCTTCAGACTGGCCCCTGCAGCTTACACCCCACCCTCTCCATGTGTCCTTCCCCCTTTCCAGAGCCCTGTGCAGCTGCTTTGTCTGGTTGTAGCCTGTCTCTCCGAAGTTGGGGTTGCCTTTTTCAGACACCTGCACCTTTTGTATCGGTGGAGGGAGAAGCTTCTCAGTGGGTTTTATTCTTTGGGTAGGTTTTGTAGCTTGTGGGAATCAGGGGGCAAAAGCTTATGAACCTGCAGTGTTTGGAGGAAGTGAAACTTGAGTTTTTCCTTTGTGTGATTTGTTGTATAAACTTTGTTGTTCTTTTCCTCAAGGATATTCATACTGCTTGGGGCAAAAAGACACATTTCTTATAATATTTACCAAATAAAAAAATATGTGAAAGTGGTTGTGAAATGTATAATCTTAACACGCCAGAAATATAGAGGAGAGGAAGACACTACTATTCATGTTTAATAGATGTGTGTTGAGTGCGTACTGTGTACCAGACACTGCCATGGAGTCCTGCATACAAGAAGACTGCAAAATAAAATCCTTTACTCATGACTAGAGGGACAATCAGTGGGGTAATAAATGATCACAGAATGCTGTAGAGGGTCCAGAAGGAGCCTTTAATCATTCCTTGGATACAGATTGGAGTTAAGTGTGGCTCAGATGTATGAATCAAATTTTTAAAAGTGCATATGAGTTTGCCAGGGAAACAGGGATGGGTGGGAAGGAGAAGGGCAGTCCAGGTAGAGGGAACAGAATATGTAAGTGTAAAGAGGTGTGAAAGAATGATCGCATTCTTTTAGTTCAGTACAATTAGAATTTACGGTATATTTGGCACAGTGGTAGGAGATAAGGTGGGAAGATGACATAAAATACCATCTCAGCCATGTTAAAGAAAATTGACTTGGACTTCCCTGGTGGCACAGTGAATAGGAATCTGCCTGCCAATGCAGGGGACACTGATTCAAGCCCTAGTTCGGGAAGATCCCACATGCAGCAGAGCAGCTAAGCCCGTGCACCACGACTACTAAGCCTGCTTTCTAGACCCCGCATGACACAACTACTGAGCCCGTGTGCCGCAACTACTGAAGCCCGCGCACCTAGAGCCCATGCTCCACAACAAGAGAAGCCACAACAAGAAGCCTATGCACTGCAATGAAGCCTAAGCCCCCACTCACCACAGCTAGAGAAAGCCTGCGCACAGCAACAAGGGCCCAACACAGCCAAAAATAAATAAAATTTTTTGAAAAAAAATTGACTTTATCCTGGTGATGAAGAGCCTCTGAAGGGTTCTAATCAGTAGAAGAGTGCTATGATAATGCCTTCACTGTAGAAATGTCACGGAGGCTGTTCTGGTTTTCTACTGCTGCATAACAACCACCCCAAAATGCAGTGACATAAAACAACCATGTCGTTATGCTCACAGTCTGTGGGCAGAATTCATGCAGGGCACATAGGGACAGCTTGTCTCTGCTCTGCAGTGCCTGGGGCTTCAGCTGGGTTGGCTTGATGGGTGGCATTATTCTACTGGAGCCACATACCCAAGGCTTCAGTCCCTCTGCACATGGCATCTTATGTTTCTGGAACACCCAGGATGGTTCCTTCACTCGCTTGTCTGGCTCCTGGGCCAGGTATTGGTTGGTAGCTCACCCTCCCCACCTCCCTTCCTCTCTATGACTGGCTTGGGTCTCATAGCATCTCATCTCCAGTAATCAGACTTTTTACATGACACCTGGCTTCCCCCAAATGAGCATTTCAAGAGACCAGAGGCATCTTATGACCCAGCTTCAGAAGCCCCACAGCACTGCCTCCACAACCTTCTGTTGGTTACACAGGGCCAGCTTAGATTCCTGTGGGAGGTTACTACATAAGGTGTGGATACCAGAGAAGTGGTTTATTAGGGACCATTTTTGGAGACTAGCTCCAAAGTGGTGGTGTGCAGAATGGACCAAAAGTGGGGTGAGGGTCATATAGAAGGATGTTGAAGTTACCAGTGAGCAATAGGATCTGACATAGGGTGGTAGAAAGAGGGGTGGAGAAGAGAAGACAGAGCTGAGAAATTGACAGGACCCTGTTTATCTTCTAGCATCTGGCACATAGAGGTACTTGGTGACTGAATGAATTAAAGAGGCTCATTAATTATAATGTAGATTATTTTTAGCTTCTTGCTCTATACCTGCATCAAAATAACCTATTTTTTGCTTCCTAGTTATTCATTTACATATCATCAAACATTTTCTACAACCCGTTAAAGATTACTGGGTTGTATATTCATCAGTCTGGAAGGAAATTATGTAGTCAAATACTGTCTTCATAATAGCTTATTAGCTTTCTTATACATATATGTTGTAATGCCCTTATTATTTTGATTATTTTTAATATAAAATATTATATTTTAATACATTCTACTGTTGTGACAAAAGAGAGTTAATCTATTCTGCAGATCCTTGATTTAGAAGTATATGGTCCAGCATTTGTTTGTAAACCCAAAGAAAAAGCCAAAAAATGAGTTGTTGCTAAGAGTACATGATTTTCATTCCAGATATCACTTTGCTTTATTATTTTGGGTGCTTTATTCAAAAGGGACTTTAGATTTAAATCTAAGTAAGTAGAACCAAATTCAATTTGGAGAGGTTGTCAACAATGAATTAGATCATATATCATCAAATTATCACCGCTGCCACTCAAGTTCAAGAAGATTAGATAATGTACTTGATGAAATATGTAGTAAATACCCAGCAAAAAGTACTCACTAAATACATAAAAGTACTCAAGTACTTATTAAAGTATCTAGTAAATTAAAAGTAGATCTACCATATGATCCAGCAGTCCCACTTCTGAGTATGTATCCAAAGGAAATAAAAACAGAATCTTGAAGAGATATCTGTATTGCTGTGTTGGCTGCAGCATTTTTCACAATAACCAAGATGTGGAAACAACCTGAATGAATGGATAGAGAGGTGCTATATACACACAATGGATTATTACTCAGCCATAAAAAGAAGGAAATGCTGCCTTTTGTGATAACATGGATGGACCTTGAGGGCATTATGCTAAGTGAAATAAGTCAGAGAAAGACAAATACTGTATCATCTCACTTATATGCAGACTCAAAAGTCAAACCCATAGAGAGTTGAGTGGTGGTTACCAGGGGCTGGGAGTAGGGGAATCTGGGAGATGTTGGTCAAAGGGTACAAACTTCTAGTTATAAGATGAAAAAGTTCTAGAGACCTAATGTGACTAACAATACTGTATTATCTAAAAGTTCCTGAGAGTACCTCTTAAATTAAGTACATACTAAGTACCAAATGAAGAAAATAAAAAGCAAAGAAAGAAATGGAGTGGATGTACTTTTCAAGTGCATCATAAGTCAGGATTTGAAAAACTTGAGCCATGGATTAAACTTGGATGTCTTAGCAAGACTTGTATACAAAATGTAATATTGTATTTTATTCAGATGCCTTGGTACATAACTCATTACTTATTTTTCTTTCCCCCATATTTTCGGCAAGGTATTTGAAGCAGTAATAGCTTGGGTGAACCATGACAAGGATGTAAGGCAAGAATTTATGGCTCGGCTGATGGAACATGTACGGTTACCTTTACTTCCTCGGGAATATTTAGTTCAGGTAAAAGCATTTGCAAAACACATGAGTACACCTACTCCATGTCACTGGGCTGACAGCATGTAGATTCCTGTTACACAGTGGTAACTAGGCAGAGGGCAGTAAACGCACCTGCTGTCCTTGGCAGCTGCTAACTCTTGGGGCAGTCTTACAGGTTTGCTTCTTCCCTATTTCTGATTTGAGTAAGCAAGTACTAGAGCTTATGGAGGCAGTATTTGTGGTGACTTAAGTACATGTAAATAAATGCATTTGTGGCTCTGTGTCACTGCTCTGCATCTCCTTTGCTTTCCTTTTGATAGCCTGCTCTGACTGCTCTGTAGAAATGGAATTTTGATGTTCAACTCAAATACTTTTTAATTTTCCTTCACAGTTTCAGTGGCTTGCATTTGGTTTCTGTCTTTACTTCTAAACTGAGGAAAACCAGGTTATTTGAAATAAATAGCAATAAATGGATCTTTAGTAGTCTCTGAACAATTTTAAATTTATTGTTTTATTAATATTCTACTAGGAACATTTCAACATTTTAATTTATAATTGAAACCATGTAATGAAACATTTCTTTATTAGGAGATTAGATCTGATCATTTTAGAATTTCTTGAAGCCTCATTATTTGTTGTAATTTGTATAATCATTGGTACTCTGCCTTTAAGAAAATGAACAGAAAAAATCTGTCTTGCACTTGATGTCAGGGATAGCAAGGACAAGTTTTATTTGTGGTGTAGGCACATTGTTATAAAGTATTTTGAATTCCTTTTCCAGGTATTTAGTTTGTGCTTTAAAAAGACATCTTTAATTTATAAATATTTCCTCCCCCACCCGAAGGACTCATTATCTAAATTTTCTTATTTTTCTTACTATTTGGCTTAATGTTTAAAGATAACAAATAGGTGAACATAATATTATCCAAAGATTATTTTGTAGCTGACATTGAAGTATATAATTTTCATTGCAATTCTTCTTTATTACTTATAAATATTTTGCTCTGCAGACCAGATACTTGAGCATTTGGGGGCATCATTTACTTTTCTTTTAGTGATATTTATAAACTTTCCTCTGTAACTTTTAGACTGAACCAGGGAGGATAGTTATTGCTTTTTTCCTCTACTTTGTTTCTTTGTCAGTCTTATCATGAAGTAGCTATCCCCTCATGGGGTGGGTCTGATTTCTTCTTCCAGAGGGTTGAGGAAGAAGCACTGGTGAAGAACAGCAGTGCTTGCAAAGATTACCTCATTGAAGCTATGAAGTATCATCTGCTACCAACAGAGCAGCGTATATTAATGAAGAGTGTCCGGACCCGACTGAGGACACCCATGAACCTTCCCAAAGTAGGATCTGCTGTTCATACTTGTTACTACCTCATCTGAAAGGCCCATAGTGAGGCTGTTAATATTTTACTCATCTGATTTTCCATGTGCCCAGGAATTCATTGAAGTGTATATAATTCAACTTCTCTATTGATTTTGTCTGTGGAGGGTTGGGATTGTTTGACTCACTTAATCTTTATAAACTACATGATGTCACTCTTCTGGAACAGAGGCAACTGGTATTTGTCCCTTCTGAGTTTTTTTTAGTTCTTTACAAAGGTTTCTTTGTAAGCTACATGTTTGGATAGTAACTGAAAACCGACTAGTTTCACAGAATTGCTAAGAACTTAGGATGCTAGCTTGTTCCTTTTGTTCCTTCCTATTGTCTGTTGTGTACTATTTGATGGTTCACTCACCCATCATACATAGTCATTTCAGTGTAGATTTTTCCATATGTTTTCCCAGATCTCCAGTGTTCATGTAATTCCTCTGTGAAAGTTCATATTCTACCTTTACCTTTTTAGTTGAAGCCATTCATGTCTTACTGATTTAATTTTCCTTACGAATAACCCCTCATTTCTGTCTCTCTGTTTGCAATTCCTTCTGCTCTGTTTGCATCTTTACAGTACTAGGAGACCAGCACTTTAAGCACCATTTTGTGTATGGTCTAATCAGAATGACCCATAATATAATGCTTTTATTTATGTATTGATTTTTAGCTCTCATGTGTGTTTGGGGCAATGATGAATTAAGAAATAAGAATTAATCTGTTATCCACTGTTTTCTTATATCACCTTTAGTTATTACTTTACCTTTTCATTAAATTAAATCTTTTAAATTCTTTCACTTTAATGCTTTTATTTAGTGTTTTTTCAATTTTATTTTATTTTTTTGGAGTCTACATTTTAATTGCTTCAAATCCATATTAGTAGTGTTTTTCTGTTTTGCCCAGTGTTAACAAGAGTTCTCAATTTAGAACCAACTGTATTTTGCCAGTGTGCTACTCCCTCCTTTTTTCTAGATCATTAGTAAATATTTTAATTTAAAATGGACTTCAGTACTCTCCCTGGTGATACCTCATTAGAAATACCCACTTACCAACATAGTCCGTTTGTAGGAAGTTTCAGTCTATATGATTATGTTTATTATCTAAGCCAAAAAGTAAATAATTTGGCACATAACATCTATTGAGATTCAGGATCATATAGATTCAAATTTGGCATGCTTTTTTTTTTAACATCCCTCTGCGTGTTACTCATCGTTTCATAGGCTCCTGGAAGTTCAAATGCTTTTCTCAAAATATTCTAAATTTTTACTGAGAATTATTATCACTTAAAAAGTATTTACAAGGCACTCACTTCCTACCCTATTTTGAAAATTGGTATTTGCCGTTTTTAAATTTTCTGATCTCTCCTCAGTTCTCCAAGATTTTTCAAAAATAATTGTAAGTGGCTCAGTAAGTACATTAGCTAGTTCCCTTAACACCTTAGTATGCATGCCATCTGGGTCTGCTGATTTTATAAGTGTTCACATTTTCCAAATACCCTTTTACCTCCTTTTATAAGTAGCCGTCTCTATAAGTCTTCATTACTTCATATTTGTCCATATTATTTGGTGTCAGTTTTTGTTCTTACAAAAAAAATAGATTTATAAAAGTTGTTCATAGGCTTAGCCCATTCGAATTATTATTTCTTTTATGCTGGTCTCTTTAACTTCCTTCTAAATAGCTTGTTTTATCTTTAATACTTTTTAAACATTTCATATTTATAAAAGATCTCTTCTTAACTTGCATATTCCCTCTGCTGGCATCTTTAGCTTTGCTATCTTTAGCTATGCCTTAACCTTTAGAGAGAAAACTAATTCTCTTCTAATTTCTGTAATAAGCATGTCGCTTTTGAAAACATTCTAAAGAGTCTTTGGTAAAATCCTATCAAGTATTTTCTCTTATGTAGAGTTGTGATCATCTATCTGTTCAGTTGACACTCTCTGGGCTTCTCTGGTTGTGGCTTTGGAGTGACCCTCCTAACTGTATTAAACTTTCGGTTTCTCAGTTCTTTAGCTCTGATTTTGTGGTGGGTATGCTGATCCATGAAGGTTCTCTTCTGTTCTCTCAGGGTGGCTGGGGAGGAGGGTTGCAGACCCAGGTAGCAGGGAGCTACTCAGCTCCTGATTTTGCATTTGCATAGTCTCTCCTCAAAGTTTATTTATCTGCCCATGTTTTTGCAAAATTGCTTGTGTTGGGCACGTTTTTCAGTAGCACTGTTTGTCATTTTAGAGTGGTTGTACTCATGATTAATTCTAAATAGGTAGGTAAGAATGAGGCAAAGATTAATTTCTTTTGCTGACATATCATAATCATGGCAAGACCTACGAGACAAAATGTGGTAGCAATGCTGGAATAATAGATAATGTTTCTACCATGACAGTGACTAATTAGGCTCTGATTCTGTGGACGCATACTAATTTGCATCAAAGATCTTTTTATATCTCAGATATTATTTTATATCTCAGATATTATTTATATGACGATATTTTGTATCGTCAGTAAACCGTCTTGGGATTGTGTAAGGCACTCTTGGATTTGGACAGTATAATGAAAAACTGTATATGTTTTGCTACTGTGCTTTGTTGTTAGCTTCTTTTTATCTTTGGAATCTGTATTTTTACAAATGCAATCTTATTATTTCTATATATTTATTTTTCTTTTTTTTACCCAGGATATCTATTAAGATTTCCAGTTGGAAAATTATGAAACTTGGTATTTCAGGAGGCAAAACTAATATTTAATAGGTGAAGAAAATGAAAGAACAAAGTTTAATTGATCTACATTTCAGGATGGTCACTTGAATTTGTGTAACTCCCGACCCCTTGCCTTCCTTAAATATGTCACATTTAACTTTTCCATACAAATGTCTTCCCAGTTTTCTATTCCTTTGCATTAGCATAAACTAGTATGATGTCTCTCAGATCAGGCGTCACAAATAATTGGGGTGTCAGAGTCATGACACCTCTTTTGATGCTAGTAGCACAGTGGTTTTTATCACCGTCTCTTGATCTCATACAAATATCCCTGCTCTCCTGCTCTTGTCTTCCCATGATACATTCTTCCTTTCCCCACTATCTCTGATTCCTGGAGTTCCAAGTCCTCACCCCATTTTACTTCTCTTGGGTGAGTAAAGAACAGATATTACTACGTGTCTCTATATTCGGTAGCACATATTCCCTTCCATCCTCATTTTGATCTACAAGAAGTGAACTATTGTGTGGAAATCACAAGATTCATAGTTGAGAATCATGAAATCTAATAAACCGTATTGTTTCTCAAGGATTATTTGAAAAGTATTCCCTTTAGAGATTTTTTAAACTGATCTTTATCAGAGATGTTAACCAAACCTCTTTGAACTGTTGTCTAACTGCCGGGCAGAGTTTAAAAGTTAAGCACAGGTAGGTCTTCTATAGACCTCTAGATACAGGATTGATCTTACTGTCTGTTTCACCTCTGTGATTTCATAACCTTGCCCCTCCCTTTTTTCCCTTTGGGATTAGGAGGGAAGGGTATTGCAGATTTTCTTTGTTAATTCTTTTATTTATTTGTATTCAACACTAGAGGAATGGCAGGTCAGAAAAGAAATTATATAACTGTGCTACATTCAGTCTTCTTTTTAAAACCTTTAAAATTCTTTATATTTTCCAGTAAATAAATTACTAAAATAGGCTTCTTTTAGGAAACAAGATTTATTCTGATTTCTGTGTACCCATCTTTCTGTAGTTCCAAGTACAGGTAGGTCGTTGCTCAGTCAAGGTTGCAAACCTTCCCTTTTTGTATGCATGAGTCATTCCATCTTCTGTTTGTTTTGATTTTTTGTTTCTTTTGAACATCCATTTTTCCTGTCATCTCACTTTTCCCTTGACAGGTCCTTGCCATTCTTTACAGTGTTACACACGTGACATCATTAACTTATACGTTCTTCTGAATTGACAGCTGTGTTTTCAGTGTTTCCAAAGAGTGCCCGGTGTGCCCACTTATACTCATTAAAAGACAAATACATTGATTGCTAAATCCCATCTATCTCTCAAGGTTCTACTCCCTCCAGGAAGCTTTCACTAAATTATGACTATGTTTCATTTTCTGATCAGGAATAGCAATTAATGTCTATAACTAATCATAGCTTTCTGGTCACATATAATTGTATATAGTTCTTGAAGTACTTTAGAGTCTTGTCTCCTTAGTGATATCTAATAGCTCTTGGGGGTAGAGACCCTGTCTTACATTTCTTATGTAGAACATCTTAGCACAGTTCTGATCAAATATGGAAGATAGGCACTTAATAAATAGTTGTTCGATTGAATTGAATTGAAGAAGTTTATGGACCTCACTTATTCTCAGCGCTGGACTGTTCTTCATTCATTCGTTATGATTTCTAGTATCTCCATTATCTGTCCTCTTGGTTGTTTTATTTGTGGGGCATCCAGGGAGGTCTCTTTACTTGACATCTGGGAATCTGTGCTCTCTTGTGAACTCCAATTCAATTAGTCCACCTTTTTCAATAGGTTTTTTTTTTCCTTCTTCCATCTTTCTTTAATACCTTATTGTCCTTTTCATCTCACCTACCCACTAACATAAATTTCACTTCTGTCTGCTTTCCTAGATTGTGGAGATCTAATCCCTGGTCATTACAAAGCTGGGATCTAGTTTATAGCAAGCCCTATGACACTGCAGCCTTGCCAGTGCTGACTGCCTGCTGTTTTTGGCTTAAATACTGCTTTTGCTTGAAGGATCAGAAACTTAGTTTCTGATATCCTTATTTTTGACTAAATGTGCTAGAAAATAGAATTGTAGTTCTAACATACATGTGTCCCCTTTGTTGATGTTTATTAAATGTTGATGAGGTGGTTGTTTTCCCCCAGCTCCCCCTACCATCTTCATCCTAATATTCTCCATGTCATTGTCTTTGTAAGACATTTTAAATCCCTGAACATGCAGTAGTTGTTGGTTCAAGTGCCTCTACTTCTGCCCTTGCAGTTAATGGTGGTAGTTGGGGGCCAAGCACCAAAGGCTATCCGCAGTGTGGAATGCTATGACTTCAAAGAAGAACGATGGCACCAAGTAGCAGAATTGCCTTCCAGGAGATGTAGGGCAGGTAAGCATCATGCATTGCGGTCATTTCCCTATTGCTGGGTCATTGGGAGCTTCTCTCTCAGGTCTTATTTTATTAGCTAGAAGAATCTTTATTGGAAAAGCTTTGATTAAAATAACCATGTGATTACAGAGTGATTGAGGAGCCCCGTGCAACTCATAAGACATCGATGGGGATAGCTGCTCTGTCTTCAATTTACATATTCTTTATACTAGATTCTCTAGTATAAAGTGGAGTAGCTAGCAATTTGCTGGATATTTTCCTACTTACCTTTGCTGAAGTGTTGAGAATTCTTTAGGTTGGGACCCTTGGTTCTAAGAGATTCCTGACTTAGCTAATAAGCCACAGTTTCCTTCTTCCAAGCATTCATTTTACAAACATTTGTTGAAATAGACTTTATTTATCCAAAACTGTAATCAGAAGAGGCAGTTGCAAATTCTAAGGATTCTTCCTGTGACTCAAACCTGGATCCATAAATCATAGCTCCCATAGCAAATGAGTTCTAAGTGTAACAGAACATTTCTACCATGGTAGTCCTTTAACAGTATATCCTAGAAATTGTTACATAACAGCATAAAGTTAACCCATTCCTTTCAAGCTGTCTAGTATGTTGGACAGGGATCTGGATGTAGTATAATTTTTACTAGTTTTTAATTGAACATTAAAATTGTTTTTAATCTTATGTTATAAATAGTACTGCAATGAATTCCTTATACATATATTATTATGTATGTATGCTAATATATTTTAGTGGGATAAAACTCTAGAATTAATGATTCAAAGAGTATGCAAGGAAGATATACCAATTATTACTTCCACTAACAGTAAAGTATGAAGGTACAAATTTCCCTACATACCCTATAACACCTTATAATTAAATTGAGTTTTGCAATCTGGTAGGTGAAAAATGCTATCTCATTATCTACTTTGCACTTTTATTATGAGGAAAGTTAAACATCTTTCTGAATAGTCAGTTCATGATTCTTGCCATTTTTTTATTATACTATTTTATTGATTTAATACATTAAGGGAAGTAGCCTTTTTGTCATTTGTGGTGTGAATGTTTATTTGTATTAATCTTTTATCTTCTGACTTTACTTGCATTATTTTTGTGTTATTTTGGCCATTTAACAATGTTACTTTTTATGAATTCCTGTACATCAGAATTTTGTCCTTGGACTTAAAGATTTGTTTCTTGTGTAGAAAAGTGTTACTCACAAATTATTTGTGTGTGTGTAATTCCCTAATATTAATATCTTAAAAAACTGTGATGCAGTTATCAAAACTAAGAAATTAGCATTGGCATATTACTATTACTTAGTATGATATTCTCTGGGTCCACCCATGTTGCTGCAAATGGCAGTATTTCATTCTTTGTTATGGCTGAGTAATATTCCATTGTATATATAACACATCTTCTTAAACCAATCATCTGTTGACGGGCAGTTGGGTTGTTTCCATGTCTTTGCTATTGTATTGGGCTGGCCAAAAAGTTCGTACAGGTTTTTCCATAAGGTTACAGAAAAACCCAAATGAACTTTTTGGCCAACCCAATAAATAGTGCTACTCTGAACACTGAGGTGCATGTATCTTTTCAAATTATAGTTTTCATCCTTTCCAGATATATGCCCAGGAGTGGGATTGCTGGATCATATCATAGTTATATTTTCAGTTTTTTTTAAGGAAACTCCATACCATTTTCCATACTGGCTGCACCAATTTACATTCCCACCAACAGCAGGGTTCCCTTTTCTTCACATCCTCTCCACCATTTATTATTTGTAGACTTTTTGATGATAGCCATTCTGACCACTGTGAGGTGAGACCTCATTGTGGTTTTGATTTGCATTTCTCTAACAGAGATGTTGAGCATCTTTTTCATGTGCCTGTTGGCCATCTACATATCTTCTTTGGAGAAATGTCTATTTAGGTTTTTGCCTATTTCCTGATTGGGTTGTTTGGGGTTCTTTTTTGAATAGTATGAGCTATTTGTATATCTGGGTTATTAACCCCTTGTCAGTCACATCGTTTGCAAATATTTTCTCCATTCCGTAGGTTCTCTTTTATTTTGTTGATGGTTTTCTTTGCTGTGCAAAAGCTTTTAAGTTTGATTAGGTCCTATTGTTTATTTTTGCCTTTATTTCTTTTGCCTTGGGAAACTTCTCTAAGAAAATAATGCTATGATTTATTTCCAAGAATGTTTCACCTATGTTCTCTCCTAGGAGTTTTATGGTATCATGTCTTACATTTAAGTCTTTAAACCATTTTATGTTTACTTTTATGTATGGTGTGAGGGAGTGTTCTAATTTCATTGATTTACATGCAGCTGTCCAGCTTTCCCAACACTATTTGTTGAAGAGACTGTCTTTTCTCCATTATATAGTTTTGTCTCCTTTGTCGTGGATTAATTGACCATAGGTGTGTGGGTTTATTTCTGGGCTCTCTGTTCACTTCCATTTATCTATATGTCTGTTTTTGTGCCAATACCATGCTGCTTTGATTACTGTAGCTTTGTAGTAGTGTCTAAGTCTGGAAGAGTTATGCCTCCAGCTTTGTTCTTTTTCCTCAGGATTTCTTTGGCATTTCTGGGTCTTTTGTGGTTCCATATAAGTTTTAGTATTATTTTTTAGTATTATATTTTAGTATTATTTGTTCTAGTTCTTTGAAAAATATCATGGATATTCTGATAAGGATTGCATTTAATCTGTAAATTGTATGGTCATTTTAACATTAATTTTTCCAAGAGCATGAGATTTCTTTCCAGTTCTTTGAATTATCTTCAGCTTCCTTTATCATTGTTTTATAGTTTTCAGTGTATAGGTCTTTCATCTCCTTGGTTAAGTTTATTCTTAGGTTGTTGGGATTTTAAATGGGATTTTTTTTTTTTTTTACTTTCTGATATTTTGTTGTTGTGTAAAGGAATGCAACAGATTTCTGTATATTAATCTTGTATCCTGCCACCATGCTGAATTTATTAGTTCTAATACTTTTCGTGTGGAGTCTTTAGGGTTCTCTATATAGTGTGTCACGTCATCTGCAAATAGTGACAGTTTTACCTCTTCACTTCCATTTGGATACATTTTATTTCTCTTTCTTGTCTGATTTCTGTGGCTAGGACTTCCAATACAATATTGAATAGAAGTGGTAATAGTGGACATCCTTGTCCTGTTCCGGAATTTAGCGGGAAGTTTTTCAGCTTTTCGCCGTTGAGTATTATGTTGGCTGTGGCTTTGTCATAAATGGCTTTTATTATGTTGAGATATGTTCCCTTTATACCCACTTTGGTGAGAGTTTTCGTCATGAGTGGATGTTGAATTTTATCAAATGCTTATTCTGTATCTATTGATATGATCATGTGGTTTTTTTCTTTTCTTTTGTTAAGGTGGTGTATTATAGTGATTGATTTGCGTATGTTGAACCACCCTTTTTACCCTGGAATGAATCCAGCTTGATCATGAGATATGATCCTTTCTCTGTATTGTTGGATTTGGTTTGCTAATATTTTGTTGAGGAATTTTACATGTATATTCTTCAGAGATATTGGCCTGTAATTTTCTTTTTCTGTAGTGTCTTTGTTTGGTTTTGGTATCAGGATGATGGTGCCCTCATACGATGATTTTAGAAGTGTTCCTTACTCTGTAATTTTTTGGAATGGTTTGAGAAGGATAGGTAAGCTGTATGGTCCTGGTCTTTTGTTTGCAGGGAGTTGTTTTCATTACAGATTATATTTCACTTCTAATAATCAGTCTGTTCAAATTATCTGTTCCTTCTTGACTCAGTTTTGGCCAGTTATATGTTTCTTGAAACTTTTCCATTTCTTCTAGGAGGTCCAATTTGTCATTATATAACTGTTCACAGTATTCTCTTCTGATTTTTTGTATTTCTGTGGTTGTTATTTCTCCTCTTTCATTTCTTATTTTGTTTATTTGGATCTGCTCTCTTTTCTTCTTGGTGAGCCTAGCTAGAGGTTTGTCAATTTTGTTTATCTTTTCTAAAAACCAGCTCTTGGTTTTATTGATCTTTCCTGTTGTTTTTTTGATCTTCATTTTCTTTATTTCCTCTTTTATCCTTATTATTTTTCCTTCTGCTGACCTTGGTTTTGTTTGTTCTTGTTCTGATTCTTTTAGGTGGTAGGTTAGGTTGTTTATTTGAGTTTTTTTCTTGAGGAAGGCCTGTGTGGCTATGACCTTCTCTCTTAGAACTGCTTTTGCTGCATCCCGTAGTTTTTGTAAGGTTGTGTTTTTCATTGTCATTTGTCTCAAAGCATTTTCTGATTTCTTATTTGATTGCATCAGTGACCATTGTTTTTTTAGTAGCATGTTGTTTAGTCTCCATGTGTTCAGTTTTTTCCCATTTTTCTTTTTGTGGTTGATTTCTAGTTTTATACTGTTGTGGAAGGAAAAATGCTTGAAATAATTTCTATCCTCTTAAATTTGTTGAGGCTTGTTTTTTGACCTAGTATCTCTTTTGCCATTTTAATTATGAAATGTGTTGGTGTGGGTGTGATTGGGTTCATCTTGTTTGGGACCCTCTGTGCTTCCTCTACCTGGATATCTGTTTCCTTCTTAAGTTTGGGAGGTTTTCAGCCATAATTTCTTCAAATACATTTTTGAGCCCTTTTTCTCTTTCTGCAACCCCCCTATTTTGCATAGGTATGCTTTATATTATCCCATAGATCTTGTATGTTACTTTGGGGTTTTTTTGTTTGTTTGTTTTTTTCATTTGTCTTTCTGTCTGCTGCTCTGATTGGATGATTTCCATCATTCTATCTTCCAGATCACTTATTCATTCTTCTGCATTATTTAGTCTACAATTCATTGCCTCTGGATTTGTTTTTATCTCTGCAATTGAGTTGTCTAGTTTTGACTGGTTCATTTTATAGTTTCTAGTTCCTTGTTATAGTGATCTGCATTTCTATCAGTAATCTTTAATCCCTTCAGCATCTTTATTACCTCCTTTTTGAACTAGAAGTCTGGTAGATAGGAGAGGTCTGTTTCATTATTTGTTCTTTCAGGGGATTTCTCTTGTTCTTTTAATTGGGAGTAGTTCCCCTGCTTTCTTATTTTACTTGACTTTGTCTGTCTCTATGAATTTAGGAGAAACAGTTGTCTATTGTGGTCTGAAAGGGCTGTTTTTATATGGGAGCATCCCTGTATAGACTGTGTAAGTCCAGTATTTTTTGGTGCAAGGGCTGTGTGCCAACCATATCTTTCCTCAGAGTGTGCTGGCCATTATCCCCTTGATAAGGGGGCGTGATTGGAGTTGTGGTGTCTAGAGCCTGCCCTGAATATTGGGCACAGCCTCCTCTTTTCTCTGTGGATGTCACAGCCTTGTCAGGGGCAAGGTCTGCTCCCCATTTGTTTGAGTAGAAACCCTGAGTCTCAGATTTGATATGGCTCCATTGCCCTTGCTCTGTTGCAAAGGAGGTGAAGTGAGGCCTCTGTTGCAAAGGAGGTGAAGTGAAGCAAGTGAGGCCCATGTGGTCACAGTGAACCTATGCACCGCCTCTGCAGTCATCTGCAGTTCTGCCCAGAAGCAGCCCAAGGTCGTGTCCCTTTCTCCACTGTGTTTGTCCCAGATCTAGTGCTAGGCTATGGTGTGTGGTGTGGAGTGGGCTGGTGCTGGGGGCTGGGGTGCTGTGGCTGCAGGAGTCAAGGCGGTTGTGCTGCCACCTGGGACCTGGGCTGCCTCTGTGGCAGGCCTCTCCCGGGACCTATCTGCACTAGATCTGGCTCCAAGCTTCAGTGTGGGCTGGGCAGAACTAGAGTGCTCCAGACAGAAAAGGAACCCCTGTATACTCCTCCCAAGGGGCTTCCCACCCAAAACACGCATTTCTGTGGTGTGTGCACCAACAATGTCCACTGGATCTGGACCCTCCCCCATGGTGTGAATGCTGACAGTGGGCTCTGAGGTTTGATAAGGCCATACCCCAGGCCCTCCAAGCTGTCTCCATGCAGGTAGACAGAGTCCTCTTCCTGGGCCCGTCTGCCCAAGACTCAGCATCTAGCCGCTGTGCATACTAGCATCCCTGCCCATCATGCATTTCAGACTGGGAAGCGTGGTGAGGTTACAGCTATCAGCTCTGCTCTGATTGCTAGTAAACCAGCACCCACACACTCCTTGAGAGCAGAGACCAGGCCCCTCTGAGACAGGCTGGGACCTGGGACTTGGGACCCTTTACTGCAGAGCTTGCACCTGGACAAACATCTCCTTGAGCAACAGAATACAAAGGAACTCTAAGGGACTAAAAATAACTGTGCACATGTGTAGTCAGGGTAATTATGAATAATAAGGCCAAAACCCAGCTGCCACTTCTGAAGTGCTAGGAGCAAAAGCAGGGCACTGGGCATGATCCCTGCACCCACCACCACCAAGGGGTGGGCAGACCACTTAAGCCACGCCTCCAGCCCAAGCCACCTATGTGCCCCCACTCTCACCCCATTTAAGGAAACAGCTCCCCTCTCCTCAGGGAGCAAGAAAGGGAGCCTGTTACTTGTTTTTGCTCCCTCATGCTAAGCACAAGTCCCAATAAAGCCTTGCCTGAATTCCTCATCTGGCCTCTTATCAATTTCTGTTGCTTAAAGAGTCCAAGAACCAAGGTCTGTAACACCTCCAGTCCCTCTATCTGTCCTGGCAGACTTCGTAGCAGGCAGAGGGGCTCCCCAGGGCGAGGTCCTGCCTGTGTGGACCTTCCCTCCTTCACAGATCCCTCCCAGGGGTGCCAGTCCTGTTCTGAATGCCTTTTTCCCCCAATCCTGCTGGGTTACGTGGAGATCTGTCTTGCAGCTTTGGTTGTAAAAGAGATCTTCTGCCAGTTTCCAGTTGGTTTTCTGTGAGAATTGTTCCATATGTAGATGTATGTTTGATGCGTTTGTGGGTGAGGTGAGCTCCATGTCCTCCTACTCTGCCATCTTGATCCTCCCTTGTTATATTGCATTTAGTTGTCATGTTTTCTTAGTCTCTTCTGATCTGTGACAGTTCCGTAGTCTTTCCTTATCTTTCATGCCCTTGATTCTTTTGAAGAGCACTTGGTCTGGTATTTTTGAGTAGAAGGTCCAAAATTGAAAGCCATGGGAGATGTATACAGGTTCAAGTAGTTGGAAAATATTGGCTCATTGTTTACGTCTGTAAGTAAGTCTTTGAAGAAGCCAAGAGTCAAAATAGTACCTCAGCCCATGCCATTGCATTTTTCAGTAGTAGTAAGGAGCACAGTCTATTCATTCTATATTCTCGCTAATGAATAGCGTTTCTTAGGACCTATTCAGCCAGGCTTCTCCTGAGGGGGACTTCTGTTCTGACAACAGCTGTAGACTGTTTGGAATGCAGTCTTTAGATGTTGGTAGCAGTTGGGTTGCACATGCATCATTAACTGCTGTATTTCTTTTTCAGGGATGGTCTACATGGCTGGACTCGTTTTTGCTGTCGGTGGCTTTAATGGCTCCTTAAGGGTCCGCACTGTGGATTCCTATGACCCCGTGAAAGATCAGTGGACCAGTGTTGCTAACATGCGAGACCGGAGAAGCACCCTGGGGGCTGCTGTGTTGAACGGACTGTTATATGCCGTAGGAGGCTTTGACGGGAGTACAGGCAATTTTCTTTTATCTTTCCTTCATTGCTGTTAGAATTAACATAGCGATCACATTTATGGAACAAGGCCTAGCAAAATTAGGAGGCATTTGAATGTTTTAACAGGTATTGTGAAGATAAGTTTAAAATTTCCATCCAGAATTCCTTTAAATGATGTTAAGAGTGCTCAGTATGTAAATTTTCTTTCTCATGCTTCAGTGTCAGTCATCTTCCAAAGTTTAAAAAGCCAGTAAATGTCAGTAGCTTGTGTAGGAGCTCGCTCTTCCTCTTTGACACATAATTGGATTTTGGCCCACTTTAATGCAGCTGAAGTATTTCCCCTACTAATACATATAAGGAACCTGAGGTGCAGTGCGTTGTGCTTTATTACAGGGCTGTCCTCGGTGGAGGCTTACAACATCAAGTCTAACGAGTGGTTCCACGTGGCCCCCATGAACACGAGGAGGAGCAGCGTGGGTGTTGCCGTAGTTGGAGGTGGGTCGGCTTCCCGGTGGTTGTGAGTGGTTCTTCCTGTAACCCGGACTCTGGTTTTCTAAATGGGCAACCAAAGGGCCATTTAAAAGGGAAATAGTGGCTATTGGAAAACGCTAGTTATCCCTTTTTAAAATAAGGCACGCCCGCCCTCTGGTCCCCCTCCCTCTCTCTCTGTCCCCCTCCTTCTCCCTCTCTCTGTGTCACCTGTGTAATATTACTAACTGACTTTAATACAGTCATCTGGGGAACAAACCAGATGGCATGGTATGAAATTTTACATCTGGAGAAGGGCTGTTTAACATTTAAGGGATGGGTTGCCACAGTTATTTATTTATATCCTACTTTGTCCCCCAAAAGAGTTTAATTAGTATGATTTTTTTTTTTACTTGGTTGGGCGAATTTGTGGGTTCCCACCCCCTCCCCATGGTGGGTATAATCCTCTGCACCAACTTTTCTTTTACCAGCTTTATTGAGATAGAATTCACATACCATACAATTCATGCATTTAAAGTATACAATCCAATGTGCATCTGTCATAACAATTCATTTTAGAACATTTTTATTACCCCCCAAAGCAGTCCTACTCTCCTTGGCTATCATCCCCATCCTCCCAGCCCTCAGCAAACACTATCTACTTTTCTGTCTCTCTATAGATTTTCCACTTACAGACATTTCATATTAATGAAATCATACATTGCAGTATGTGGTCCTTTGTGACTGGCTTCTTTGACTTGGCATAATGTTCAAGGTTTGTTCATGCTGTAGCATTTTACCAGTACTTCATTTCTTTTTATTGCCAAATAATATTCCATTGTATACTGGTACTGACTCTTGATTCAACTTTTTTTTCAATTTACTAAGATAACTTTGATATTTAATTTGGTTTTCCAGGATGTTCACTTACCAAATAGTGTTTATCCAAAGGTATACTGAGTGTACTTTCTTGTTCTATCAGTCAGATTATTGATGAAAGTGTTAAATTAATATCATATATATTCTGCAGATCTTAATAATATGATTTGGTAAGTCCACCTATCACCATTAGGCAAGATTTTAAATAGTTCCTAATACTTTAAAGGTAAACTCTGCTACCAAGGAGGAAAATATATTATTTCCTGACTTGAAAAAATAGCTTTTTATGAATTTGGCTTTCTCTGTGATTCCATGTTTAGGTCTGCTTTATGCTGTCGGGGGTTATGATGGAGCTTCACGTCAGTGTCTCAGCACAGTAGAATGCTACAGTGCCACAGCAAATGAGTGGACCTATATAGCAGAAATGAGTACCAGACGGAGTGGAGCAGGTGAATAGGAACCTCATTTAGTAATTGAAGCATGGAAATGATGGAAAAGAATTAAACAAGTGAAATGATGGCATCTCTTTATATTATCAGAAAATATATGCTGATTCTAGTGACACTTAAAATGTCTTTTGCATTATGCAGGTAGAGTTGGTAGGTAGCTGCACTTAAATTTCACTTTGTAAAATTTCTAAAGTGTTATATTAAAGGCTTCTGTTTTGTTTAATTATTTATATTGTTTGGCATTACTTTTAGGTTTTTGTTTTTAGTGCTTATTGGAGAACTTGCTTAATAATCAACTCCATATCCATTGCTTACAGATTTTATGCTCTAATATTGGTTTGCTTTTATCACGAAAGTTGTTTTCAAAAGATTCGTGTAAAGGACTTCCCTCTCTGTGTTTCACCTGCGTATTATTTTTATTGTATTTGACATGCTTTTTTAGAACAATAGTTCTGAGATTCTCATTTGTAATTCTATTTGTTTCTACTTCTTAGGCCGTATGCTTTAATATTGACTTTTAATATGAATAATCATTTCAGAAGTTTTATTTACAAGTCATTTGAAGAAACCCTAGTATATTATAAATTTCTTGTCCCTTTTACTCTACTATTGTTTGGTTCTTTGTGTTTTACAGGTGTTGGTGTGCTAAACAACTTATTGTATGCTGTCGGGGGTCATGATGGCCCTTTAGTACGAAAAAGTGTTGAAGTGTATGATCCCGCCACCAACACATGGAGACAGGTTGCAGATATGAACATGTGTAGAAGAAATGCAGGTATCTATCTAGTTTATGATTACAAAATTTATACTGAATTGTATTCAGAGTATCACTGTGTATTTCCATTGTTCTTTTACTGATCTGAGTTCCCTAATAGACTTGCTCTTTAAAGGCAGAAACTTTTGTAATAATCCTATATAGTGAATGCCTAGTATAGTGTCTGGACATAACAGGTTGATGTGATCCTTCTGTTAACTTATAATATCTGTCAAAGTTTACTTTTTGGTGATGAATGTAGAGACTTAATTAGAGGAAGAACCCTCTTTATTTGATACTTGAATTCATTCATTCTTACCACAGACATTTTTGAGTGTCTACCTGTATCACATTCTGGAGCCCAGTTCTCAGGGAATTTAGTCTAGTTGAGTAAATATTTATACCAGATAAAAAAGCTAGTTGTTTATCTGAATCTGGAGGGGAAGCCTGAAGAAGCAACCTCAATTTAATACAGTTCAGGGTTTCTAGAAAATGGAAAAGCTAAAATAACAACAACAATAATTTTAAGAAAGCTGAGGTCTTCAAGATCTCTTTAAGTAGGTACAGAACTACCTACTTAAAAAGAAGATCTGTAGAAGGGAAATAGAAATGGAAAATAGATTCAGGGTACCTGGGTAGTCTTTTTGGGAAATTCTCATTTTTTTAAAAATGCCATTGTCTTCATGCCAGTTCCCATAATCCAAAATAAGTTCCTGATGATTCTCAAACTCACTGTATACCACTGGATGATGTTGCAAGATGTACCCTCCATCCCCCCAGAAATGTTCTTCTTAATTTCTCTTTAATTTAAATGTGATCACTAAGGGAGATAAGTATATGGGACTGCAAGAACTTGCTCAACAGAGCAAAATATAAAATTAATTTACTTGACCTTTTACCGCATCCAACTGGTACAACTGGTACTTGGTGAAGTACTAAAACTCTCTCAGCTATGGATAGTCCAGAACTATTAATAGTAAGACCCACAAATCTGGGGCCCAGCACATATGAAGTTAGAAAAGCATACGTGCATGTGCTTCCTGGATTAGGAAATTCATTTGCAATTTGAACTTTTGTTATTATTTTCCTAAAGATTATTCTAATCTTATTTTTTCTCTACCCTTGTTTTATTGTTTTCAAATCAAAATTAGCTCATTTCTTCTAGCCAGAAGAATAAGGAGATACTTTGTGTATGTAGAGCTATTGTCATCCTGCTCTTGCTTTTCAGGTATTTGAACTACTTTAAAATGATATGAGTTTGCTTCCTGTCGAGAGACTATCATAGTAGCACAACAGAGTTTGAGTAAAGGGGATCCACTCCATTTGCACAGAAGATACTATTGCTTTTAAATGCTGTGTAGAGATTTGGGCTCATTATTTTGTTACGTTAAAAATCTACAAGCACCTATTAATTGTGTTAGCAAAACTGTCTGTAAAGAGACCAGTGTGCGGGCAGCACCCTTCTGGATGTTTTGATGCCCTGTAGTACCAGTTCATAAAAGCTCTGAATCGTGTTTAAAATTATTAAATATGCTTTTAAAAAATAAATTGAAATAAAGAGCTTTTAAAATGTGTTTATCTTTTCACTCAGCAGTTTTCTTTGTAAACATTTATATTAAGAAAATTATTGCACAAGTATGCAAAATGTGCAAGAGATCCTTGTTCATTGTAACATTATTGATAAGAGCAAAAAAGCTGAAAATAACTTAAAATCCATCAGTAAAAGACAAATTATGGTATTATCATACATGGAATACTATGCAGCCATTAAAAATTATGTAGATCTGTATTTATTAACTTGGGGAAATGTCCAAGGTATATATTGTTTGGTGGGAGTGAGTAAAAAGTAGCATGTGTAGTATGAGCTACTTTGGGGTTAAAAAAAGGAGTGTCTGAGTATATACATGTAGAAAAGAGCCAGAATTTCGATGATCAGGATTCTAAGCGGTATAGGATTAGTGGTGGACTTTTTTTCTTTATACTTTTCTAGATGTTTTGAATTTTGCAAAAATCCAAAAAATATTTTATTCTCATAATAATTAAATAAATAATACTGTTTTCCCTTTTAAAGGAGATAAAATAGTTGACCAGTCAGTATAATAATTAAAATTCAGAATCATTTTTACTTTCTACTAATATATATATTTATTTTTCCTTTTTCCTTAGGATTTCCTTAGAAGCTGACTTTGGGAGAGTTCTTTGACCTTTAATTTTCTATTGTTTTTAACAAAATGGGAATTAAAATAGCTTCTAACCTGTAAAGTAAGGTTATTGTGAAGGTTAAATGAAATAATGCATATATAAAGCATCTACTGCATAAGTAACATGAGTAGGAGCTTACAGTTAGTATTAGATTCTCAGATATAAAGGAATTCTTTTCGGGTTCCCCCATCTTCTCTCCTTGCCTCTTTCCAGGAAGTACGTGTCTCTGGATCACCTCACCAGACACGTTCAGGGATACTTATATTCATCCAAATTTTTAAAATAATTGTTTTCTCTCTGTGTACTTTTTTTAAAGGAGTTTGTGCAGTTAACGGTCTGTTATATGTAGTTGGAGGGGATGATGGTTCCTGTAACTTGGCATCAGTAGAATATTATAACCCAACAACTGATAAATGGACAGTTGTGTCATCTTGTATGAGCACAGGGAGAAGTTACGCAGGTAATAATTGTTCAGTTTTCTTATAGTCTTCTATTATAATACGAAAGGATTACATCATTATGATTTTTACACTAAGAATGTTTTTCTCGGGGCTTCCCTGGTGGCACAGTGGTTGAGAGTCCGCCTGCCGATGCAGGGGACACAGGTTTGTGCCCCGGTCTGGGAAGATCCCACATGCCGCGGAGCGGCTGGGCCCGTGAGCCATGGCCGCTGAGCCTGCGCGTCCGGAGCCTGTGCTCCGTAACGGGAGAGGCCACAACAGTGAGAGGCCCGCGTACCGCAAAAAAAAAAATGTTTTCCTCCTATATAAGAAGGAAGTCTTTTCTCAAAGTATATCTTATTTCTTATTCTCAAAATAATTAATATCAGATATGTATATTCTGAAATAAAGCACTAGTATCCTTTTGTCATTCTGTAGTCACTTGTATTCAAAATTACAAATCTTTCCAGTGTGGCATCATAAAATTTAATATGGCTACATCTGTATGCAGTGTCATGGAATTCACAATGTAGCAAGGCTTTAATTACTCAAATATCCAAAAGATATGAGCCCTATAACATCTCCCCTGGCAGGGCTCCATGTGATACTATTACAGTGAGGCTACAGAGTAATTTTCTTACTTAAGCACAGCACTGATTGAATTATAAAATATCAGTTTGGTCCATTCTCTTCGTAAGAGAAATGGTAATACTCTTTAATAAATATAATGATGAGTCTTTAAAAGTATATGTTGCATGTAGTTTATTCTGATGATATTTATATTGCTTTAAATATTAGAATGTTTCAGTAACATTCTAATATAGATTTAACAGTGGGGAAAAAAGAAATTTATACTAATTAACCATCACTGTTACTTGTCATCTAAAACAACACCTAATAGAACTATTGATATATAGAGTAGGATCCCAGGATAGCATTCCTCAAAATTACGTGAAATTTTTTAAAATGGCTTTATTGAGATATATCTGACATAGAATAAATAGCATATATTTAAAGTGTACAGTTTTATTAGTTTTGACATATGTATATAACCACAAAACCACCACAATCAAGGTAATGAAAATATTCATCACTCTTAAAAGTCTGTTTGTGCCCCTTTGAGTATTAAGTGGATCTTAGTATTTCTTGAGTAAAATTATTTTCCCTTAATTGTAACTGTGAAGAGCAAAAGACGAGCTCTGGATTAAATAGTCTTAGGTAGTTTTGGTCCCTAATTTTTAAACAAAGATTTCATTGTCATTTAGATTAAAATGATAGTAATACTAAAGTTTCTAAGAAAGAGATTTTGAAACATCATGATCTGTTCAGTCCCTCTTAAGTAATAATATAAAAACTTCAGTATTTTCTCAGAGATACAGAATGCTTCCTGTGACTTCTGTTTTATTTCTTCGTTTCTTTGTTCAGGGGTCACAGTTATTGATAAACCGTTATGAGCCTGAAGGACATTTTCAGCACATTTACACATGAGAAGAAGCAGACTTCAACAAGTACTTCTGAAGTGACTGAGAGTCTAGCACTTCTCCACTTGTAGCTGCACTTTAAGTCTCCGCAGAAGATAAGATCATCTGCCTTTATAGGCCTCAGATATTGAAGATTATTTTTGGTAGATGCACCGTGTAAGCTTTTCTGCAGTGAGCAGCAGCTGACTGAATTTTAATAAGAAACTTGGACTGCAGTATTATTCTGTAGTCTTTGGACAATAGTTGCTTTCACAAAGACTAGTTACCAATCTTGAATGACTGGATTATTTTGTGAAGGGGGATAAATATGTGTTCTTGTAAAATTAAGTTTCATCTTTATTCCTTCTCCTGAAAATCTGTATACACAGGAACTGAAAATCTTTGAACAGGTATTAAACTCTGTGTAAGTATACAAACTAGTTGAGGGATAAAACTGTTTGCTTTTATAAAATATGTTTGATTACATGAGTATAATAAATTGTGTGCATATAATGTGTGTCTATTTGCTTTCCTTTAAATATGTTTGAAAAGATGTTTGAAACTTGATTATACTATTTATAATTGGCACAGTACTTTGAATTATGCCAGTACTACATTGTAAAACAGAGTTGTATTTTTTGATATTTAACAATGCTTAACACTTTAAAATGCCACTTCTGAGGAATGAACTGGTGTAACACACTTGAATACATGTGTGATGCCAAACTTTTTAAAATAAAATATAAATTATGCTTATTTATTATTTTCTTTGGTTTAATCTTGGTCATGTTTTGGTGTATATTTCAAATTTTTTTCTTAACAGTTTGGCATGAACATTACTGCAGGTTTTTGATGAATATAATGAATGTATGGAATTCAACTGAATTTGCATGGTCTTAAGAATTTTTTCTGTGCGTATAAATTTAGCTGCTATTAACAGAAAAGACAGCTTTCTGTGAGTAGCCATCTGTGTTGATCAGATAGAATTTTTCTGAGATCTTCAATTAATCTTACTTTAAAAATGACCAAAATATGTCTTTCTTGAATTAACTTTGAATAAAAGTTTGTATATTATTTGATTCACATTGTCCTTGATTTTTATCTATTTAGTTTGCTACTAAGAAAGTTGCCTGTTCACTTTTTGTATTCTTTTATAAAATTTGCATTTTCTAACTTCATAAATCAATATTTAAAATTTGTTGCCAAAGAAACCTACAAGGCAAGTCTGTTAAGTTCAACAACTGAAATCATGGAAAACTGTTCTCCAAGAAAAAGCTACCTTAATAATCAAGGAAAAAGTCTCACAAGGATTGGTGAAATTTAAAGTTTTATACTCTTCTGTCCCTAATATGGGCAGGGCACAAGATAAAGATAAAACAGATAGCACTGGACCAAAAAGAAAGTCAAAGAAAAAATGCCTACTTTAAAACAACTGAGAAATAAATTGTGGTTTTGATACCAAATAAAAGGAATTGAGGAAATGGGCATGGGGGAGTGGGGTGGACAGCTGAGGTGCTGGGACAGGAGGAGGAGGAGATGGAAGGGGGCGATGGGGTATAGTGGCTGTTTCTCAGAAATTTAAAAGGTAGGCATGAGCTCTTGCCAGAACAGTCAATAATCAAGAGGAAAGAATTATACCTGTGATAAAATTTGTTTAGTTAATATAGAGTGTTCACATTTAAACATAGAACCACATTTATTACCAACTTAGTTGAATTTTCCGTTGTAAGTGGAAATATGAAGACTTTAATCAGAAAAAGAAAAAGCCTGTGTTCACCTTATGAAAACATGAATTTCTGCATTAGTGTGGCTCCAAGCACATCCATTGTCAACAAACATGTTGAGGATCTAATGAACTTGGAGCAATGCTAGCTGCTTCTGACAGTGGCACCAAGAAAAGTGTGTCATTACGTTTCCTGATCACTTCCAAACACTAATTTTCCATGAAACGCTCCATGAATCTGTCAATTAAAGATTTATCTAAAAATCTTTAAAGCTTTTCTTAAAATATAATCTATTAGGGTGACAGTCTTAAAAAACTTAGCATGTCAGATACGTCTTTGTCTTTTCTTTCTTTGAAGCTTTAATAGCTATACCATAAAACTGTTTGCCAAGGTTTGTCAGTAGCTAGATTCATAACTCCATGATTCAGAGAATTTGAATGTACTCCCCCCACACCCCCACCAGCCTTTGTCTCTCCAATTTGAAACATCTTGTTTTGTTTTGTTTAGGCTTATAAAAATGTTCCTGGCTTGTTCAGATTATTGTACAAAAAAGAGAGGTCAGAAGTCTTAGAAATCCTGCCAAGGGAACCACCAGGTGTGAGCAGAGTTCAAGGTTATATCCATGAAAATGCATTGTAAAGCAACTGCTGCTTGCTTTGCTTGGCTCTACACCTTGTTGACTGAAAGCAGTGATGACTGGGGTTGAGGTGAATGGTGTGTATACTTTCAGTTCCCCTCCCATCCCTTATGGACTCTGGCATATGATTCCTGGTTTTTATTATCATCCCTTATAGACAGCATGAGGACCCATGTATTTATAATGTCAGCTGTTGATGAGTTATGAGACAGGGTAGCATAATATTACATAGTGATGTAATGGGTTAGCCCAGCGGTCCCCAACCTTTTTGGCACCAGGGACCGGTTTCGTGGAAGAAAATTTTTCCACAGAATGGTGGTGGGGGTAGGGGGATGGTTTCAGGATGATTGAAGCTCATTACATTTATTGTGCACTTTATTTCTATTATTATTACATTGTAAATATATAATGAAATAATTATACAACTTAAAATAATTCAGAATCAGTGGGAGCCCTGAGCTTGTTTTCACTTGCCACTCACTGATAAGATTTTGATATGAGTCTGCAAGCAATTGATTTATTATGGTCTCTGTGCAGTCAAACCTCTCTGCTAATGATAATCTGTATTTGCAGCTGCTCCCCAGTGCTGGCATCACTGCCTCAGCTCCACCTCAGATCATCAGGCATTGGATTCTCGTAGGGAGCACACAACCTAGATCCCTTGCATGCACAGTTCACAGTAGGGTTCGCGCTTCTATGACAATCTGATGCCGATGCTGATCTGACAGGAGGAGGAGCTCAGGAGGTAATGTGAGCGATGGGGAGTGGCTGTAAATACAGATGAAGATTTGTACGCTGGCTGCTGGCGGGCTGCTCACCTCCTGCTGTGCAGCCCGGTTCCTAACAGGCCACGGACCAGTACTGGCCCGGGGGTTGGGGACCCCTGGATTAGCCTGCCTCTTGTTTCAGCTTGGTCTTGAGCAAATTGTGTCCTACTGGCTTTTACGGCCGCCGTGTCTCATTTTGGAGAGGAGGCTACATGGGAAAGTTGAATCACACTTTGAATCAAGTTTCTGGCATTTTAACCCTGGCTTCACGACTCTAAGGAAAAAAGCAGTGTGTGATGTATTGCAGAGCCCATGGGCATAGGAATCAGACGGCTCTCAGTTTGCATCCCCCTCTGTCAGTTGCTAGCTGTCACCACTTTAAACACATTTCTTAACCTCTGACATTTTGTCTTCTCTAAAATGGCAACAGCAGTGTCTATGTCACTTACAAGGTTATTGCGGAGTTTGAAAGAAATGGTGTATATTAGTGGGTTTGACATACAGAAGACCCTCAATAAATTATCACTACTGTTGCAGTTCTCTGAACCTCCCATTTCTTCATTGTAAGGAAATAAGTGAGTTGAGCTTATTTCTGTAATTTGGAGCCATCTCTGTATTTCCTTTCAGCTCTGAATCTCCAAGATTTAAAATAATAATTTGACCCCTTCACATACCTACATCTGCTCCAATATAAAAGATATATATCGCTACTGTGGTAGGATTTTAAGTCAGATAATAACCAACATAGTATTACTGAGCATTTCCTGTATTTCAGATACTGTGCAAAGGGCTTTGCATACATAATCACATTTATTGTCATAACAAACATTATTATAATACCCATTTTACAGAAGTACTAGATAAAATTTTGAGAAATAAGTTATCTAAGAGCACACTGCTAATGAGTGACAACCTGGTAGGTCTGACCCCATAGCGCATGCTCTTAACACTCCTTGACAGAAGGCGGCACGTTTGGGCAAAGGGAAACTTGGGCTGCGGTGCAGTCACACCCACAACCTCTAGGGGGGCGCCTAGAGCTAGGCCGGCCAATCAAAGGAATCCTAAATTGGGGTGAGGGGCTGGGATGCATCAACCAGTCACTGGACTCAGGCTGCCCCCTGGAAAGGGACTTGTGCCATGGGAAAGTGGCTCTTTTTGCCAACATTCAGTAGCTGAAGACCTGCTTTAGTCCTGAAGGGGGCACCTAGATGGTGCAGCACAGCATCCACCCCAGGACACCATAGACCTCCTAAAGACAGGGCTCTGAACACTCAAGGGACAGATCCCGTTTCTTTTCATTTGATGTGATTTTTATGTCATGATACTTTACAAAGAACGTGGGTGTCAAACACATGGGACAGTTAGATGAATGGGTAGAGGTCACTGGACCTAACAAGAGACACATCCCTCAAGAAGGGGCTTCCTAAAGCAGATGGTACCTGACCCCTTATTTCAGGCAGGAGAGCCAGTCCGATCACAGCCATGAGAAGCGACATTATCCCGTTTGTACAAAGTCCTGCATAGAAAGTGCCTTCAACTAGACCGCGTGTTGCCCTTGTGCAAGTTTTAAAAGGCTCTCTTAAGCGAAAGCTTAAATTCGTGGATGACCCCCATCCGTGCACACTCCTGCACCCCTGCAGGGGCGGAAGGCGGTCAAGCCTGGCTGCAAGTGTGAGCCCCGTGCGGGTCCGCGGCGGCGGTCTCCCCGCGGGCAGGGCCAGCTGCCGCGTCCAGTCTCTCCTAAACCTCCCGGACCCTCGGCTTCCCGTCCGCAAACAGGAATGGCGCTGCATTTGAAGTTCCCCATCTCCCACGTAAACGTAAACGTAAACGTAAACGTGGGAGTTATCAAGGGGCGCTGGGGAAGAGAAAGAGATGGTCTAAACTCGGGGTGCACCAGCGAAAGCTGCGACCTGTGAACCCAGCGCGGCGAAAACACTTCACAGCCCGCAGAATCGCTGTACCCCCCGACCGCTCAGGCGCCTGGGAGCGGGTCCGAGGTTGATACGCGACCCCTCACTGTCTCACCTCCGCCCCACCTACCTGGCTGTGCGCTCCCGCCCCCAGGCTCCGCGGCGCCGCTACTGGTCTGACGCCCAGCTCTCACGATCCTCACTCCATCCGCTCAGCCAATGGCCGCGGCACCAGTGCTCCATTCGCACGAGTCACACGATGCCGGCAGCTGCGCAGACCAATCACAGCGCCTGGAAGGCGGGGCGGGGGCCCTCGCAAGCCAATAACGGCGGGAGGAACCGCCCGAGCGGCTGAGCCTAGCGAAGCTCGGGAGGAGACGGCAGCAGGTACAGCGGTGCGCAGGTGAGGGGCTGGGGTGGAAGAGGATACGGCCGCTGGCCGCGGATGGAGGCCGGGATGGAGGGCGAGGCGGCGGGTACGGGTGGAAAAGGGTGAAATCCCTCAGTCAGTGTCGGAACGGAACGGGGCACGGCCCTCAGCCGTCCGGGACAGTGGTCACAGCCCAGTGTGCCAGTGTGACCAGAGTTGTGCAAAAGGAAGGGGGCAAGATCAGTTTGTGTGTGCAGCGGGCCGTGCGGTTGGGAAGAGCGTCCGAGGAGGGTACTGAAGGATGAATGGGAGTTGGGCAGAGGACGTACCGGCAAGGGACGCTGTTTCGTGGGCAGAGAGGCCCAAGCGGAAGACGGTCAGAGGCCTTCTTGTAGGAATACCGAGGGTGGGGGCGAGAAGGTGAGAGAGGAGGAGAGCAGAGGCCTATGTCTTTATCAGTGGGGAGGCGCTCGGTGGAACTCTAAGGGTCTGGAGAAGGGGTGGTGAAGCCTGTCTGCTGTTTAGATGGATGCTGGCATCGTGTTCTGGAGGGAGGGTTTTAGAAAGGCACGCTTGGAGGCGCGATCCGGGCACGGCGAAGGGCAGGCACTGCTGACAGCACCCCGACAGCTATACTTGAAGGTTACTAAGGGAATCCACAAACGACTACATTTCTTTTGTCTGAGCCTGTAGTAGGCCTCCGGTCAATCCAGTTGTGCAAGGGTGAAAAAAGGAAAAGAAAATACACTCTTTATTTCCCTTCCCCTTTCCTCTTTAATTCCTATATTTTGCTTCAGTTGTCAACAGTGTGTCCATTTCCCTCCCTTGAGCCTGGAGAGTAAACTCCTGAATGTTAATTAAAGCAGTTATCTCTAAATAGGGTAAGTGTGTGAAGACTTAGCCCGGGCAGCAGAGATAGAGGTCTGGAACATTCTGTCCCAGATGGCTAAGTAGGTGGTGGCACCAGTTCACTGCGTGGTACAGGAGGTAGGGAGTGTGTGGGTAGGGTTGCAAGAGGCAGTGGCGGAACACGTTGGACATGTTGACTGTGACATACCTCTGAACTGTCTGAATTGGAGATGACCAGTAGATTTTTGGATAATCAGAACCTGGGGTTTAGGAGAGAGGCCTAGAGAGAGAGAGAGAGATTGTGGATATCAGCATATTCTCGCAACAGGAGCAGATTAGCTCACTCCAGGTAATCTAGAATAGTTGGAAGGAGTAAAGAAAGCATCTCTGGGAAACTCTTCAGCCTCAATTCTTGAGCCTTCCTTTCTCAAAAGCTGTACCACAGACTTAACTAAATCAGAAAGTGCTGTATCCTTTCTCATCTCCTGGTTGAGTCTTTGGAACTGATGTTTCCTCTCTTCAAAACTATCCCCCCCCAACCCCATCGCACCCGACTTTACTCTCTTTTAATCTAGTCACCTCCCCTCCATGCTCCAGGCTTGAGTTTAGATGCCTCTTTCTCTAGGATGCCTCTTTCCCTGGGCCTCTCTGTTCTATATTTCCAACCCTTTATTGTTCTTGTCTCAGATTTTGTGACAATTTGGTTACTTCTTTGTATTCCTCACTAGGTTTTATGTTTTGAAGTCAGGGGTGAGGGCAGCAGGGAGCACAGTGGCTGCACATAGTACCACACATTAAATCAGAGTGAATACATATGAATCCCAAGAACCAAGAAAGGCGGGCATTTCAAAGTGAGAAGATCTAATCTTCCAGACTGGCCAGATAAAATAAACTTAAAAAAATGTTTGTTGGATCTGGAAGCTAGGAGACTTAGTGATTTTACTTAGTAAGAGTAAATTCAGTGCATTGATTAGAATAGGAAACAGATTGTAATTGCTGGAGAATGGATGGGAAATGTGAAAATGAAGGCAGCCTATATGGAATACTCTTTCAAGGGGCTTGGGTAAACTGTGGGAATTATTCCTCTCTTACTATAATATTTATGTGCTTTATTATTTCGGATCACAGTATAGCATAATGAATGTGAGCACAGGCTCCCCCACGTAGCTTTCTTGTAATTTGGGAAAGTTACTTAATCTTTCTAAACCTCAGTTTTTCATTTGTAAAATGGAGATAATAAAAGTGCCTACCTTGAAGGTGTGGTAAGGATTAAAGTCTTTAATATAGAGAAAGCATGTAACACTCTTAGAAGTTAGTGGCCTATAGAAAGTCCTTAATAATTGTTAGCTTCTTGTAGCTACCATGTGTCAGGTCCTATGTTAAGTACTTCACGTGCATTATTTCTTGGACTCATGAGAAGAACTATATCGTTATTCCCTATTTTTTCAGCTTTTTTGAGGTACAGTTGACAAAACTGTAAAATATTTCAAGTGTATGTTGTGGTGATTTGATATACATGTGTATCATGAAAAGATTTCCATCATCTAGTTACTATTGTTATTCTTTACATTCTGCAGATAATAAAACTGAGGCTTAGAGAAATGACTTAACTTGCTCAAGGTCACACAGCTAGTAACTGGTGTTGGTTTAGCATCATTGGATTTGGTAACGACCTCATGAAAAATGAGGATTGGAACAACTTTTATTTTGTAATTTAGAATATTGAAGACATTTTGGTGTGGATGGGGACCTAGACTGCAAGCACAGTGGGCCCTTGAACAACTCGGGGATTGGGATGCCAAACCCCTGGGCTGTTAAAAATCCACACATAACTTTTGGCTCCTCCAGAACTGAACTACTGATAGCCTACTGTTGACCGAAGCCTTACCAATAACATAAACAGCTGAGAAAAGAAAACGTTAAAAAATTAGGAAGAGAAAATACATTTACAGTACTGTGCTGTATTTATTGATACCGTAAGTTTATGTCTTTTTACAAGATGAATGGTCTGTCAGTACCTACATCAACATTGTCTTATATGATACAAAACACTGTGGATGTTATGAATATTACTAACACCAGACATCAAAAATGAAAAGATAATGTGAAAAAGAAATTCATATTTATTTACATGTATAAGGATTCATGCATTGATAATGAAGAAGCAGCAATATGATTGCTTTGTGGTCACCTCGTGTAGTCGATACTATTGCTTTACAGTAGCTCAGCCTATACACTAATAAATGAATCATTATAAAGTTTTATAGCATAGTATTAGTCATATCCATAATACAGTATTGGAAACATTGTTACTTTTTTAAAAAAACACTTCACTGATAATAGGCTGGTTTGCAGTAACACATTAATTTTATATTAAATATCACTCACTTTATGCCTGCGTAAGAATAGTATTTACATATATTTTATGCATTCATGACATACCTAACTTTTTCTTAATTTTTTTTGATATTTCTAGGCTATGTGGTTTATCTGTGAATTTTTTCAAATTGGTGCAAATCTCCCCAAATTTTTCCAATATATTTATTTTAAAAAATCTGAGTCTAAGGGGACCTGCACAGTTCAAACCTGTGTTATTGAAGGGTCAGCTGTAGTTGAGTGAGTTCTGTGTGTGAGAATTAACCAGTCAGAGGCTGTATGTTGATCTCTCCCTTGAGACAGAAGTTGGTTGGTCCAAAGAAAAAGAGAAAGGGAACAGTGGCTTGGGGGAGAGGTGATGGAGGTTAGGAAAACTTTTCCCGAGAAGGGAGGACTTGAGTATGTTGGGTATTTTGGGGTTTTTTTTGTGGTACGCGGGCCTCTCACTGTTGTGGCCTCTCCCGTTGCGGAGCACAGGCTCCGGACGCGCAGGCTCAGCGGCCGTGGCTCATGGGCCCAGCCGCTCTGCAGCATGTGGGATCCTCCCGGACCAGGGCGCGAACCCGTGTCCCCTGCATCGGCAGGCGGACTCTCAACCACTGCGCCACCAGGGAAGCCCTTGAGTATGTTTTTAAACTTGATGGGATGAACTCAGTGAAGAGGGAAAGATGAGAAAGAGTAAGTGATGGACAAGTTCTTGATGAGGTAGGATAAGAACACAAGACCAGACAGTCTTAGAGGAGAGGGTGAGTGAGCAGAGGCTGTGGCACAATAGTCCCCATGCTGTAAGTCACTTGAGAATGAGTAGGACAGAGGAATAGGGATGCAAAGTGAATTCAGAGTCCTGAGGAAGCTGGCTAAGCTTCCCGGGATCCTCTATGATAAGAGGTCTATGGGGGAAGGGGGCATTAAATACTATTAAGAGTTTCCGAGGCTTAATATATTTGTTTTTAGAGTGGCCCATCATAATTCATAAATTAGGGACATCAGTAAACATTTTTAGGAAAGTGACATTCTTTATAAGTTTTTCTGTTTTTGATTTGGTGACCTATTAAGCTTATTTATTAAATAAGTAAAACATGCTCATGAAAAAAATTAAAATTGTAAGAAGGTATAAAATGGAAAGTAAAATCTTTCTCCTCTTCATAATCCCCCCAACCGTGTATACATATGCATTTTCGGTATATTTTCTATGTTTGTGTGTGTGTCTGTCATATGTACATATGCACAAAACTGCATAAAGTATATAACCTTTTCACAAAAATATAAGTGGGGTTCTTGCTATACATTCTGCAACTTGCTGTTTCACAACACTGTATCTTAGACATCTTTCTATGTAGAACATGTAGATCTTCCTCCTTTTATGTGGCTGTGTGTCTTTGGAAGGACCTGATAGAATTTATTTAATTCATTTCTTGTTGATGGACTTAACATTTTGTTTTACTTTTTTCTCTTTCTTTTTGCTATTATGAGCAATGCTTCTTTCAGTCTTAGTGTGCTCATCTTGGTACACTTGAGTGAGAAAATTGCTGGGTCAAAAGGTGTATTCATTTTGAGCTGTAATAAATACTGTGAATTTTATAGACTAATCCTCCCATTAACAATGTACAATGGTGCCTGTTTCCCCAAATTGTTACTGGGTACTGGGCATTATGAAACTTAAAGATTTTGTTTTAGGATGCATTTCCTATTTGAGTCAAATTGAACTGCTTATTTGCTTAGTAAGCATTTGTATTTAGTTTTCTGTGAACCTTCCGTGAATGGTCTTTGTCATTTTTCTGTTGGGTTTTTAGGCTTTTTCTAAAGCACTCATTGTAGCCCTTTGTCATAATTTTTGGAAATATTTTTCCCAGTTTGTCATTTGATCTTTGACTTTATTTATGATTGTCTTTTTATTCACCATTATAAGTATTTAATTTTTATGAAGTCATGTTTGGCAGACTTTTTCTTTATAGATTCTTTTAGTTTTAAGTGACCCAACTATTGCTCATTGAAATTACAAGTTTTTCCTGGAGACCACACTGAAAAGTCTCTAAAGATGGCTTGAAATTTCTTATCCACTATTGTTCTTTAGATCCTGCTCTTGAAAGTTAACAGGTGACTTTTAAATCATACACCATAAATGGAGGTGATGATGACATCCTGTAGACTGGGGTTTTTAATCATGTTTAGGACCTGAGCGATTGGCACTCCTATAGTAATTTTAAAATTAATCAGAAGCATTTTAAAAACTGTTTTCTTAGAATTTCATTGTTTAGCTTGCTTATTTATATATTTACTTATTTTTGCAGAATTATAAGGCCGTCTGCAGAGATTTGAAAAATGGCAACAAATGAAAGTATCAGCATCTTTAGTTCACCATCCTTGGCTGTGGAATATGTAGATTCACTTTTACCTGAGAATCCTCTGCAGGAACCATTTAAAAATGCTTGGAACTATATGTTGAATAATTATACAAAGTTCCAGATTGCAACATGGGGATCACTCATAGTTCATGAGGTCCTTTATTTCTTGTTCTGTTTACCTGGATTCTTGTTTCAATTTATACCTTACATGAAAAAGTACAAAATTCAAAAGGTGAGTATGATGGACTTGCAATGGAGTATTGTCATTAGTCTTGTTGAATATTTTTAAGGTAAATATAACTTTATAACTCAAAATAGACTAGATCAGTGCTGTCCAATAGACATACAGTGAAGCCACGTGTATAATTTTCTAGTAGAATACATTAAAAAGTAAAAAGAAATAGGGAAAATAATGTTAGCAATATATTTTATTTAATCCAATAAATCTCAACTGTTGCATTTCAGTAAGTAATCAAAATTTAAAAGTTTTAATGGGATATGTTATGTTCTTATTCTTATAATAAGTCTTTGAAATCCAGTGTATATTTTACACTAATTTCAGCCCATTTCAGTAAAGACTAGCTGTATTTCAAATGTTCAATAGCCACATTTCTAGTTGCTACCATATTGGACACCACAACCCTAGAGCATTTATTGTTAAGGTTTCAAGAATAATTTGTTAAATTGTGCCTTAAGTAGATGTGATGTTTATCTAATTTGGGTTTATAAGTTTTAATTTAAAAAAATTTTTTTACTGAGATATAGTTGATATACAGTACATTAGTTTCAGATGTACAACATTGTGATTCAAAATTTTTATACATTATGCTCCATTTAAAGTTATTATAAAATATTGACTATATTCCCTATGCTATACAATATATCCTTGTTACTTATCTATTGTATACATAGTAGCTTGTACTTCTTAATCCCCTACCTCTCACTCCTTCCCCCTTTCCTCTCCCTGCTGGTAACCACTAATTTGTTCTCTATATCTGTGAGTCTGTTTTGTTATATTTGTTCATTTATTTTGGGGGTTTTTTCCCACATGTAAGTGATAACATACATATTTGTCTTCCTCTGACTTATTTCACTTTGCATAATACCTTCCAGGTCCATCCATGTTGTTGCATATGGCAAAATTTCATTCTTTTTTATGGCCGAGTAGTATTCCATTGTGTATATATGCCACATCTTCTTCATCCATTCATCTGTTAATGGACACTTAGGTTGCTTCCATATCTTGGCCATTGTAAAGAATGGTGCTATGAACGTTGTGGGTGTTTTCAGATTAGTGTTTTTATTTTTTTCAGATATATACCCAGGAGTGGAATTGCTGGATCATATGGTAGTTCTATTTTTAGTTTTTTGAGGAACCTCCATACTGTTTTCCACAGTGGCTGTACCAATTTAGATTTCACCAACTGTGTACTAAGGTTCCCTTTTCTTCACAACCTCGCCAACATTTGTTATTTGTAGTCTTTTTGATTATAGCCATTCTGACAGGTGTGAAGTGAAATCTCATTGTGGTTTTTTTTGTTTGTTTGTTTTGTTTTCTTGCGGTACGCAGACCTCTCACTGTTGTGGCCTCTCCCGTTGTGGAGCACAGGCTCCGGACACGCAGGCTCAGCGGCCATGGCTCACGGGCCCAGCCGCTTCGCGGCATGTGGGATCTTCCCGGACTGGGGCACGAACCCGTGTCCCCTGCATCAGCAGGCGGACTCTCAACCACTGCGCTACCAGGGAAGCCCTCATTGTGGTTTTGATTTACATTTCCTTGATGATTAGTGGTGTTGAGCATCTTTTCATGTGCCTTTTGGCCATCTGTATGTCTTCTTTGGAAAAATGTCTGTTCAGGTCTTATGCCCATTTTTTAATCAGTTTTTTTTTTTGATGTTGAATTGTATGAGCTGTTTGTATATTTCGGATATTAACCCCTAATCAGTTATATCATGTGCAAATATTTTCTCCCATTCAGCAGATTGTCTGTTTTGTCAAAGGTTTCCTTTGCTGTCTAGAAAAGCTTTTAAGTTTAATGAGGTCCCATTTGTTTATTTTTGCTTTTGTTTCCTTTGCTTTAGGAGGCAGATCCAACAAAATATTGTTACGATTTATGTCAGAGTATTCTGCCTATGTTTTCTTCTAGGAGGTTTATGGTGGTTACATACAAATTTTAAAATTATTTGTCCTAGTTCTGTGAAAAATGCCACTGGTGTTTTGATAGGGATTGCATTGAATCTGTAGATTGCCTTGGGTAGTGTGGTCATTTTAACAATATTGATTCTTCCAGTCTGTGAACACAGTATATCTTTACATCTATTTGTGTCGTTTTCAGTGTCTTTGATCCGTGTCTCACAGTTTTCTGTTCTGTGTGTTAATTTTGTATCCAGCAACTTTACCAAATTCATTGATGAGCTCCAGTAGTTTTCTGGTGGCATCTTTAGGATTTTCTATGTATAGTGTAGTATCATGTCATCTGCAAACAGTAGCAGTTTTACTTCTTCCTTTCCAATTTGGATTCCTTTTATTTCTTTTTCTTGTCTGATTGCTGTGGCTAGGACTTCCAATACTATGTTGAATAAAGTGGCAAAAGTGGTCATCCTTGTCTTGTTCCTATCTTAGAGGAAATGTTTTCAGCTTTTCACCATTGAGTATGTTGTTAGCTGTGGGCTTATCATCTGTGGCCTGTATTATGTTGAGATATGTTCCTTCTGTACCCACTTTATGGAGAGGTTTTATCATACATAAATTTTAATTTTAAAATTAGCTGGAAGGGAAGGTTATGGGGATTCATGAGTATTATTTTGCAGTTCACTCCAGCCCTTGATGTCTCAACTCTTAAATGTATGTTAATATGCTGAGACTTTGATCAAGACTGTTAAGGTTTTGTTTTTACCCTAAATATATCATGGTAATTCTGCAGCATTCATGTCATCCCCCCCAAAATGATGATGTTCCTAGCTTCTAGGTATTCACTTCAGTGTACTAAATGTTTCTTGAGAGCTTGCTATGCATGGCAAAGTGTTGAGATATACGCAGTGCCTCTTCTCAGTTTTAAACATAGGGAAAATAGTGAACTCTAGTAATGTGTAGACTAATGAGTTTGACACAGTTCCCAGGAAGGAATCTGCACCAGCTTGTTAGAAAAAGAAATGATTTGTTGACACTTGGTAAACCCACGATAGTTTCTAATGCTTACTGTTAACTTTTTTCAACAAGTCATGCCAAACTCAAACTCAAGGGCACACAGTCTTGGTGGAAAGCAGGCATCTTGGGAGTGTTCACCTAAGGAGACTGGTTTGTACTCATTGAGTCCATGGCGGGTGGCAGTCAGTGCACACATCCTCTCCGACCAGTCTCTTCTCTTTGTAGCCTCTCCCAGTGAGTCTCACTTTAAGCAAGTACTAACATTGATTCTCTCTGGGGATAGTGCAGAGGGTCAGCTGCCTGTGGACTCCAAGCCAAAGGAGGGAAGAACAAAGGGTAAAGGGAGAAGGAATTAAAAGGGCTGTGGCCTAAAGGAGAGTATCCTGTTACCGTAAATAAAGGGCACAACATTTCCGGAATACTTCTTATAAAAAGGCCTACTTTGAAAGGCAGAATTGAGTTTGGATGTCTAAGTTCTTGTGCATGTTTGGAATTCTGGCTGCCACGGGTCACCCATTGGTTTATTTATGGGGCTGATTTGTTGTATGGCTGTCCAGGCCAAAGTATCCCTGTCTGTCTTCTGCCCTCTACAGTTGACTCACTGGTCAGAGGTGGTAACTTTTTCAGAGAGAGAAAGGCCTGTTTCATTCAAGGTTTTATGAAGACTTTAGAATAAAATGTGGCAAAAGAAAGGACAAGAAGTAATCTAGTTTACAACTAGTTACTGATAAACAGAGATCGAAAGCCTTCAAGTCTGTACTTAGCATGTCTTTCCTTGACTTTCACAACCATTAAGGTCCCTGCTTTGAGATTTTTTGATACTAAAATTAGTTGTGAAGATAATCAGTACAAGTTTTCACAATATAAGGGGGTTTAAAAACAAGCCAAAAAATCAGTGTACACAGGTTTACACATTTTAAAGGCAGATACCCTGAAACAGTGAGGGTACAGGAAAAAGTTGCTGGTGGAGCTAACACTGAAAACTCTGCTTTGAAACAGAATAGACAGCTAATGCACATGCTTGCTACTGGGGAGAATATTCACAGGAATGAGAGAGTAATGAAGTAGACCTTGCAGGATTTTTTAAAGTCTTACGTCTTGATAATTCTCTAGGGATTTTCCTCAAGGATTTATACACTAAAAACATTCTGTCTGAAGTCTGTGGGCCTGGTAAACAGTAAAACATGTGATTTTTTAGTTACAGTTGATTCATTTTTGTGTTAATTTCTGCAGCTACATCAGTATTAGAGTCTAGCCAGGATATCACAAGTCATTTAAACATAGTTCTATGGGAAAAAGAGTGCCTTTGCTGGCCCAAGCCAGAATCTTCCATTTATTTTGTCCCCAGTCACAGACTGGAAGTTTGGAGGAGCAGGGTCAGATCATGCTCAGAGTAGAAATAGACAATTATAAATTATCTCGCCTAATTTCCTCATTTTATTGTTGAGCAGACTGAGATGTGAGCTTCACAGAGCCCCAGAGGTTAGAGCCAGCTCTCCAGACTGATTACCAGTTGAATGCTGTTTCTTTTTTGTCAGGGAAGGTAACTCTCCCAAAGAATTTCAAGAACAACACTGGAACCCTAGACTTTAGTTAGTCCAAGTTCCGCTAATAACTGCCTGTGTGATCCTGGGCAGGGAGCTTGACCTCTGGGCCTCTGCTGAGGTCAGTGGTTTCATCCTTGGGATATTATGGTTCAGTTAAAACACTTGCATTGGTAAGTTTCTGAATTTTTAGGTAAGGACATTTAAAACAAAGCAATAACTATTATCACCATCTTTTTGTAAAACCAAAAGCACTTTTTAACTAATTGCACCCCTTTAAATTGAATAAATTTTAGACTTTTATATATGGCTTGTTAAGCAAGTCGATAATCCTGATGAGGTTTTGTGAACGTTTCACTACAGTAATCTCACTTCCTCATTTTGACTTTAATCTGTGAACTTCATCTGTGGGCAGTAGCTCTCCGTTCTTTGGGAACCACTGGACACATTTGTTTTCTAAGTTCTTCCAGCTCAGAGAGTTTCTAATTCTGTCAATGTATAAGAACAAAAATGCACTTATTTCTGGGAATGAAAACCGCTGAATGGCTGGCAGTGTTGATTTACCTGTGTAATAAGGCTTCCAATGCTATGTGTGCAGCTGCCTCAGCAATTGGGAGAACCCAACCGTGGTCTTAGCGTAACACATTTCTTCCTCTCTGGCATTCCTGATAAAAGAAGTAAATGATCTGTGGGCAGCAAACACAAGAGTTATTCGTTCTGTAGTGCTCCTTTGGTTTGTAGAGATCATCGGGACCATTATGCCTGGGTTTGTCTATTGACAATTTCTTCACCTATTTAAAGTAGTGATAATATCGATAGTTGTCAAGGTTTTAGAAGTGTGTGTGTGTGTGTGTGTGTGTTGTGGTTCCTGGACCTTAGTCACTGTAATACAGCAATTATAATATAGAATTCACATAACATGGATTAATTAAATAATATAAACTTAAGTCCCCATATAAACGTTAGAGAAAAAGCTAGGAATTTACTTCTAGTTTTCAGGTGAAACTCCTGATAGCAGAGGCTAATACTAAATATTTTGATTTTTTTTCTCCATAGGATAAACCAGAAACGTGGGAAAATCAATGGAAATGTTTTAAAGTACTTCTCTTTAATCACTTTTGTATCCAGCTTCCTTTGATTTGTGGAACCTATTATTTTACAGAGTATTTTAATATTCCTTATGATTGGGAAACAATGCCAAGATGGTATGTAGATGAAGATTTGCTTTTTATACTCAGTCATGGTTTATCATTCAATTAAAATATCCTTAATGTTATTTTCTTTCTTCATTTGGTCATTGTTTGTTTCTTCTAAACTTTGGAAATAAATAAAACGTAGAAAAGTAAACCGTAACAGAAACTTAAAATGTCCCCATTTTTATATGTTTCTATATTTTAGTGTAATATTTTTATTGGAAGGTGAGTTTCTTGCATCAGAAGTTTCCATAGCATCCATTATATGATTGTATACAGATACACATGCTTATGCCAAGAAAAAATATATTGCATTTTAAGTCTAAAATGAAAGAAAAAATGAGAGAATAGTTTGTGGAGTTTATAAAAATTATGTCCATACAGACAGAAATATATATTATCTGAGCATAAATATTTGTGTTCAAATACTATTTGTATTCAACTCTCTGTTCTGACTTAACCTGAATACAGATGTACAGTATATAGATATGTGCTTTTCCTATTACTATATATTCAACATATAAAAGAATTTCTGTGTATGTGTTCATATGTATATAAAATATATTTTGCCCATTGCACTTATATGCTTCTCTTTGTCAGGAAAAAAACGATGATTTTACTCTTATTAATCTTAATTCAAGTCCTTTATCAATGTTACTCTTTTCCTAGAAGTTTTGAGTTTTGTTTCTTAACTCTGACTTTATACCTGTGACTTTTTTTTAAGCGAATTAGAATTGGTATGGTGGTCAGCTTCTTTAACCCTTCTTCAGGTGGTATCATATAGCTAGCTTGCATCTATATGTATTGTTTTGAGAATTTGTTGATCAATAAAACCAGTTAGGTCAAGCTGGTATTTGCTTTTATGCAGTGTCTCCAGCAGTGATCCCAGGTAAAAGTCTAGATTGTTTAAGTAAAAGTTATTTAATCCTCATTACAGTATTTTCATCTTAAAGGTACATGCTTTTGGCAAGATGCTTTGGCTGTGCAGTGATTGAGGATACCTGGCACTATTTCCTGCATAGGCTCTTACACCACAAAAGAATATATAAGCATATTCATAAAATTCATCATGAGTTTCAGGTATGTTAGAACGACATTTAATCCATTTTTTTATATTAGAGGCAAAAATGTCATTTAAAAAAAAAATCTCCTGGACTTTAAAAAAAACTGTCAGTGATGTTTTTATTTCTTTTTCCTTTGGCATGATTGTTAAGAATATAATACACACACACCTAAACACAAAGGGAGTTCTACAGATTTACTTTAATATCTTAATTTCATGGTAAATTGAGACCTGAAAGAAAAATGTTACGTGAAATCGTTCATTTTTGTCTTTGGGTCCAGAGCACTATCCTCACACAGTTGGGTCCCTGGCAGTTTGATAGAGGCCTCTAGTGCTGTTAAGGTCATTTAAGTGGGAACCCAAAACAACAAACCTTGAATCGTTAAATTCCTAAAACAATTTCCAAGTTAATTTTAACACATTTCCACATCATTGCTAACTCCTTCCCACAAAACAGTGATTTTTATCAGAACTGCTTTGATGTTAGCTTTGTCAAATTTGTTATTTTGGTATGTTCTGCATTGATCCTAATTACATGATATGATAAACCAAACATCCCTTTCTTGGCAGAACAAATTCAGGTGCATAAACCAAAATTAGAATTCAAGTCAATTGTTTAATGCCTTTATCTCAAACCATCAAAGACAGCTATTAAAATAGATTGTTTTAAGGACATCCCTAGACCTTTTAATGTTTGGTAAGAACAAAAAAACATTTTTATTGAGAATTACTGTTAATGTTTATATATGTATGGCTAGATATATAGTTGATCCTCAGTATCCATGGGTTCTGAATTCATGAATTCAACCAACTGAGGATTGAAAATATTTGGGAAAAAAATTCCAGAAAGTTCCGAAAGGCAAAACTTGAATTTGCCTCGAGTGGACAACTATTTACATAACGTTTAAATTGTATTTACAACAATTACACAGCATTTACATTGTATTAGATATTATAAATAATCTATAGATGATTTAAAGTATATCGGAGGATGTGCATAGGTTATATGCAAATACTGCTCCATTTTATATAAGGGACTTGAGCATCCTTGGAGTTTGGTATCCATGGGGGTCCTGGAACCAATCCCCCTGGGATACCTAGGGATGACTGTACTATCATAACATATAGAAGAGATATAATTTTATAAAACGATATACATAAATAAATTAGAATATATATATTAGGGTTCTCCAAAGAAACAAAATCAATAGGAGACACACACACACACACACACATACACAGATTTATTTTAAGGAACTGGTTCATGCACTTGTGGGGGCTGGTGAATCAAATCTGTAGGGCAGCTCACAGGTTGGAAACACAGGTGAGAGTTGATGTTGCAGGCCTGGATCTCAATTCCTTAGGGCAGCAGGCTGGAAACCAGGCAGGGTTTCTGTATTGTAGTCTTGAGAATTCCATCTTTCTTGGGAAGCGTCAGTCTTTGCTTTTAAGGCCTTCATCTGATTGGATGAAGCTCACCTGGGTTATGGAGGGTCCTCTTCTTTACTCATGGTCTACTGACTTAACTGTTAATCACATCTAAAAAAGACCTTCACACCAGCCTCTAGACTGGTGTTTGACCAAGCAGCTGGGCACCATGGCCTAGATAAGTTGACACATAAAATTAACCATCACAATATATTAAGCAATTCTTACTTATTTTAGGCTCCATTTGGAATGGAAGCTGAATATGCACATCCTCTGGAAACCTTAATTCTTGGAACTGGATTTTTCATTGGAATCATGCTTTTATGTGATCATGTTATTCTTCTTTGGGCCTGGGTAACCATTCGTTTGATAGAAACTATTGATGTCCATAGGTAAGCTATGGTTTCTATTCAGGTAAAAGTATCATAAAATATCCTTTTTTCATGGTCATAGATTATCTTTATTTCTGTTTTTTTTTTTTAATTGAAATGTAACTGACATGTAACATTGTGTTTTAGGTGTGCAACATAATGGTTTGATATATGTATATATTGCAAGATGCTCACCACACTGTTCATCTCTACACAGAGTTACAAATTCGAGAACTCTTAAGATCTACTCTCTTAGCAACTTTCAGATTCACAGGATTGTTGATTTCAGCCTCCATGCTGTACATTACATGTCCAAGACTTATTCATCTTACAACTGGAAGTTCATACCTTTTGACCACCTTCACCCATTTCATGCACCGTAATCATTGTCATAGGTTATCTTTTTTCCTAAGTAGAGTAATAGGAGAAGTTAACCTTGTTAATGTTACCATTTTTAATAAACAGGAGAACATAATCATTGGATAAAAGTTCAAATAATAATTTTTGGGTTTTTTTACATTCCTATCTATGGCTGTTGTCATTTTTATGGTGAGAGTATATTCATGTATCATTTGAGAAAACGAAATAAAATTCTGATAAGTGCTGCAGAACTGCCCTCCAAAAGGGCCCCTCTCTACACGCCCAGCAGGAACCTGTAAGAATGCTTTCCCTGCACCCAACACCCTTTGCAAACTGAACATTACAGTCTTGTTAATCTTGGTCATTAGGAGGGCAGAGAGCCTTCAGGGTTATGCACTGCATTCCCCAGGGGATGGTGAGGCTGCATGGCTGTCTTTGTGCTGGGTTTTTTCTTTTTTTTTCGCAGTCTCCCGATTCATCCCACCACCACCACCCCACCCCGCCCGCTTGGTGTCTACGTTTGTTCTCTACAACTGTGTCTCTATTTCTGCCTTGCAAACCTGGTTCATCTGTACCATTTTTCTAGATTCCACATACATGCGTTAATATACGATGTTTGTTTTTCTCTTTCTGACTTACTTCACTCTGTATGACAGTCTTTAAGTCCATCCACGTATCTGCAAAGGACCCAATTTCATTCCTTCTTATGGCTGAGTAATATTTCATTGTATATATGTACCACATCTTCTTTATCCATTCCTCTGTCGATGGACATTTAGGTTGTTTCCATGACCTGGCTATTGTAAATAGTGCCTGCACTGAACATTGGGGTGTATGGCTCTTTATGGATTATGGTTTTCTCTGGGTATATGCCCAGTAGTGGGATTGCTGGGTCATATGGTAATTCTATTTTTAGTTTCTTAAGGAACCTCCATACTGTTCTCCTTAGTGGCTATATCAGTTTACATTCACACCAACAGTACAAGAGGGTTCCCTTTTTTCCACACCCTCTCCAGCATTTGTTGTTTGTAGATTTTCCGATGATGCCCATTCTAACTGGTGTGAGGTGATACCTCATTGTAGTTTTGATTTGCATTTCTCTAATAATTAATGATGTTGAGCAGCTTTTCATGTGCTTCTTGGCCATCTGTATGTCTTCTTTGGAGAAATGTCTATTTAGGTCTTCTGCCCATTTTTGGATTGGGTTGTTTGTTTTTTTTAATATTGAGTTGCATGAGCTGTTTATATATTTTGGAGATTAATCCTTTGTCTGTTGATTTGTTTGCAAATATTTTCTCCCATTCTGAGGGTTGTCTTTTCGTCTTGTTTATAGTTTCCTTTGCTGTGCAAAAGCTTTTAAGTTTCATTAGGCCCCATTTGTTTATTTTTTTAAAATTTCCATTACTCTAGGAGGTGGATCAAAGAAGATCGTGCTGTGATTTATGTCAAAGAGTGTTCTTCCTATGTTTTCCTCTAAGTTTTATAGTGTCCTGTCTTAACATTAGGTCTTTAATCCATATTGAGTTTATTTTTGTGTATTGTTGTTGGGGAGTGTTCTAATTTCATTCTTTTACATGTAGCTGTCCAGTTTTCCCAGCACCACTTATTGAAGAGACTGTCTTTTCTCCATTGTATATCCTTGCCTCCTTTGTCATAGATTAGTTGACCATAGGTGCGTGGGTTTATCTCTGGGCTTTCTATCCTGTTCCATTGATCTATATCTCTGTTTTTGTGCCAGTACCATATTTTCTTGACTACTGTAGCTTTGTAGTATGGACTGAAGTCAGGGAGTCTGATTCCCCCAGCTCTGTTCTCTCCCTTCAGGATGCTTTGGCAATTCGGGGTCTTTTGTGTCTCCATACAAATTGTAAGATTTTTTTTTCTGGTTCTATAAAAAATGCCATTGGTAATTTGATAAGGATTTCATTGAATCTGTAGATTGCTTTGGGTAGTATAGTCATTTTCTCAATATTGATTCTTCCCATCCAAGAACATGGTATATCTCTCCATCTGTTTGTGTCATCATTGATTTCTTTCATCAGTGTCTTATAGTTGTCTGAGTACAGGTCTTTTACCTCCTTAGGTAGGTTTATTCCTAGGTATTTTATTCTTTTTGGTGCAATGGTGAATGGGAGATTGTTTCCTTAATTTCTCTTTCTGATCTTTCATTGTTAGTGTATAGGAATGTAAGAGATTTCTGTGCATTAATTTTGTATCCTGGGACTTTGCCAAATTCATTGGTTAGCTCTAGTAGTTTTCTGGTAGCATCTTTAGGATTATCTGTGTATAGTATCATGTCATCTGCAAACAGTGACAGTTTTACTTCTGTTTTGCAATTTGTATTCCTTTTATTTCTTTTTCTTCTCGGATTGCCATAGCTAGGACTTCCAAAGCTATGTTGAATAATAGTGGTGAGAGTGGACATCCTTGTATTGTTCCTGATCTTAGAGGAAATGCTTTCAGTTTTTCACCATTGAGAATGGTGTTTGCTGTGGGTTTGTCATATATGGCCTTTATTATGTTGAGGTAGGTTCCCTCTGTGCCCACTTTCTTGAGAGTTTTTATCATAAATGGGTGTTGAATTTTGTCAAAAGCTTTTTCTGCATCTCTTGAGATGATCATATGGTATTCTTCAATTTGTTAATATGGTGTATCACATTGATTGATTTGTGTATATTGAAGAATCCTTGCATCCCTGGGCTAAATCCTTTTAGCCCAGGATAAAAGGATTTTATCCTTTGATCTGTCCATTGGTGTAAATGAGGTGTTAAAGTCCCCCACTATTATTGCGTTACTGTCAATTTCCTCTTTTATAGCTGTTAACATTTGGCTTATGTATGATCCTTTTACTGTGTTGTTGGATTCTGTTTGCTAGTAATTTGTTGAGGATTTTTGCATCTATATTACAATCAGTGATATTGCTCTGTAAATTTCTTTTTTTGTAGCATCTTTGTCTGGTGTTGGTATCACAGTGATGGTGGCCTTATAGCATGAGTTTGGGAGTGTTCCTTCCTCTGCAGTGTTTTGGAAGAGTTTGAGAAGGATGGGTGTTAGCTCTTCTCTAAATGTTTGATAGAATTTACCTGTGAAGCCGTCTGGTCCTGGACTTTAGTTTGTTGGAAAGTTTTTAATCACAGTTTCAATTTCATTACTTGTGACTGGCTTGTTCATATTTTCTATTTCTTCCTGGTTCATTCTTGGAAGGTTTTACCTTTCTAAGAATTTGTCCATTTCTGGCAGGTTGTCCGTTTTATTGGCAGAGATTTGCTTGTAGTAGTCTCATATGATGCTTTGTACTTCTGCAGTGTCTGTTGTAACTTCTCCTTTTTCATTTGTAATTTTGATTTGAGTCCTCTCCCTCTTTTTCTTGATGAGTCTGGCTAAAGGTTTATCAATTTTGTTTATGTTCTCAAAGGACCAGCTTTTAGTTTTATTGATCTTTGCTATTGTTTTCTTTGTTTCTATTACATTTATTTCTGCTCTGATCTTTATGATTTCTTTCCGTCTACTAACTTTGGGTTTTGTTGGTTCTTCTTTCTCTAGTTCCTTTAGGTGTAAGGTTAGATTGTTTATTTGGGATTTTTCTTGTTTCTTGAGGTAGGATTGTATAGCTATAAACTTCCCTCTTAGAACAGCTTTTGCTGCATCCCATAGGTTTTGGGCCGTCGTGTTTTTATTGTCATTTGTTTCTAGGTATTTTTGATTTTCTCTTTGATTTCCTCAGTGATCTCTTGGTTATTTAGTAACGTATTGTTTAGCCTCCATGTGTTTGTGTTTTTTACATTTTTTTTCCCTTTTAATTGATATCTAATCTCATAGCGTTGTTGTCAGAAAACATGCTTGATATGATTTTGGTTTTCTTAAATTTACTGAGGCTTGATTTGTGATCCAAGATGTGATCTATCCTGGAGAATGTTCCATGTGCCCTTGAAGAAAGTATAATCTGCTCTTTTCAGGTGGAGTGTCCTATAAATATCAATTAAATCTATCTGGTCTATTGTGTCATTTAAAGCTTCTGTTTCCTTATTAATTTTCTGTCTGAATGATCTGTCCATTGGTGTAAGTGAGGTGTTAAAGTCCCCCATCATTATTGCGTTACTGTCAATTTCCTCTTTTATAGCTGTTAGTATTTGCCTTATGTATTGAGGTGCTCCTATGTGGGATGCTTATATATTTATAATTGTTATATCTTCTTCTTGGATTGATCCCTTGATATTGTGTAGTGTCCTTCCTTGTCTCTCATAACATTCTTTATTTTAAAGTCTACTTTATCTGATGAGTATTGCTACTCCAGCTTTCTTATGATTTCCATTTGCATGGAATATCTTTTTCCATCCCCTCACTTTCAGTCTGTATGTGTCCCTAGGTCTGAAGTGGATGTCTTGTAGACAGCATATATACGGGTTTTGTTTTTGTATCCATTCAGGGAGCCTGTGTCTTTTGGTTGGATCATTTAATCCATTCACATTTAAGGTAATTCTAGATATTTATGTTCCTATTACCATTTTCTTAATTGTTTGGGCATTGTTTTTGTAGGTCCTTTTCTTCTCTTGTGTTTCCCACTTAGAGAAGTTCCTTTAGCGTTTGCTGTAGAGCTGGTTTGGTGGTGCTGAATTCTCTTAGCTTTTGCTTATCTGTAAAGCTTTTGATTTCTCTGTTGAATCTGAACGAGATCCTTGCCAGGTAGAGTAACCTTGGATGTAGGTTCTTCCCCTTCATCATTTTAACTATATCATGCCACTCCCTTCTGGCTTGTAGAATTTCTGCAGAAAGATCAGCTGTTAACCTTATGGGGTGACCTTGTATGTTATTTGTCGTTTTTCCCTTGTTGTTTTTTTTTTTTTTTTTTTTTTTAATGTTGAGTCTTCTTTTAATTTATTTATTTTTATTTTTGGCTGTGTTGGGTCTACGTTTCGGTATGAGGGCTTTCTCTAGTTATGGCAAGCGGGGGCCACTCTTCATCGCGGTGCACGGGCCTCTCACTGTCGTGGCCTCTCTTGTTGTGGAGCACAGGCTCCAGACGCGCAGGCTCAGTAATTGTGGCTCATGGGCCTAGTTGCTCCGCGGCATGTGGGATCTTCCCAGACCAGGGCTCGAACCCGTGTCCCCTGCATTATCAGGCAGATCTCAACCACTGCGCCACCAGGGAAGCCCTTCCTTGTTGCTTTTTTTTTTTTTTTTTCCGGTACACGGGCCTCTCACTGCTGTGGCCTCTCCTGTTGTGGAGCACAGGCTCCGGACACGCAGGCTCAGCGGCCATGGCTTACGGGCCCAGCCGCTCCGCGGCATGTGGGATCTTCCCGGACCGGGTCACGAACCATGTCCCCTGCATCGGCAGGCGGACTCTCAACCACTGTGCCACCAGGGAAGCCCCCTTGTTGCTTTTAATAATTTTTCTTTGTCTTTAATTTTTGTCAATTTGATTACTATGTGTCTTGGCATGTTTGTCCCTGGGTTTATCCTGCCTGTGGCTCTCTGCACTTCCTGGACTTGGGTGGCTCTTTCCTTTCCCATGTTAGGGAAGTTTTCGACTGTAATCTCTTCAGATATCTTCTTGGGTCCTTTCTCTCTTCTCCTTCTGGGACCCCTATAATTCAAATGTTGGTGCATTTAAGGTTGTCCCAGAGGTCTCTTAGGCGATCTTCATTTCTTTTTGTCTTTATTCTGTTTCGTGGCAGTGAATTCCACCATTCTACCTTCCAGATCACTTATCCATTCTTCTGCCTCAGTTATTCTGCTGTTTATTCCTTCTAGTGTATTTTTCATTTCAGTTATTGTATTATTCATCTCTGTTTGTTTGTTCTTTTATTCTTCTAGGTCTTTGTTAAACATTTCTTGTCTCTTCTTGATCTTTGCCTCCATTCTTTTTCCGAGGTCCTGGATCATCTTCACTATCATTATTCTTAATTCTTTTTCTGGAAGGTTGCCTATCTCCACTTCATTTAGTTGTTTTTCTGGGGTTTTATCTTGTTCCCTTCATCTGGTACATAGTCCTCTGCCTTTTCATTTTGTCCGTCTTTCTGTGAATGTGGTTTTCATCCCACAGGCTGCAGGATTATAGTTCTTCTTGCTTCTGCTGTCTGCCCTCTGGTGGATGAGGCTTTCTAAGAGGCTTGTGCAAGCTCCCTGATGGGAGGGACTGGTGGTGGGTAGAGGTGGGTGTTGCTCTGTGGGCAGAGCTCACTAAAACTTTAATCCATTTGTCTGTTGAAGGGTGGGGCCGAGTTCCCTGCCTGTTGGTTGTTTGGCCTGAGGCAGCACTGGAGCCTAGAGGCTCTTTGGTGGGGCTAATGGCAGACTCTGGGAGGGCTCACACCAAGGAGTGCTTCCCAGAACTTCTGCTGCCAATGTCCTTGTCCCCACAGTGAGCCACAGCCACCCTCCGCCTCTGCAGGAGACCCTCTAACACTAGCAGGTACATCTAGTTCAGTCTCCTATGGGGTCAGTGCTCCTTCCCCTGGGTCTGATGCACACACTACTTTGTGTGTGTCTTCCACAAGTCGAGTCTCTGTTTCCCACAGTCCAGTCAGAGTCCCACAGTCAAATCTTGCTAGCCTTCAAAGTCTGAATCTGGGACTTCCTCCTCCCATTGCTGGACCCCCAGGTTGGGAAGCCTGATGTGGGGCTCAGAACCTTCACTCCAGTGGGTGTACTTCTATGGTATAAGTGTTCTCTGGTTTGTGAGTCACCCACCCAGCGGTTATGGGTTTTGATTTTATTGTGATTGTGCCCCTCCTACCGTCTCATTACGGCTTCTTTGTCTTTGGATGTGGGGTATCTTGTTTGGTGAGTTCCAGTGTCTTCCTGTCGATGATTGTTCAGCAGTTAGTTGTGATTCCAGTGCTCTCACAAGAGGGAGTGAGAGCACGTCCTTCTGCTCAACCTGTCTTTGTGCTTGTTGACCAACAGTAATTTTTTCTTTGAATTACCATTTTATATCATTTGCCAGTTTTTCTGTTAAGGCTATACGTTTTATAACCTATTGGTTCATGTGTAAGCTTTGTTTGTTACCTATGTTGTAAATATTTTCTCTCCATCTGTCATTTGAATTTTAACTCTTGATGGTTCTTTTGCAGTTGTGAAGTTTTAAATTTTTATGTAGTAAAATCTGTCAGTTTTTTTTTTTAACATCTTTATTGGGGTATAATTGCTTTACAATGGTGTGTTAGTTTCTGCTTTATAACAAAGTGAATCAGTTATACATATACGTATGTTCCCATATCTCTTCCCTCTTGCGTTTTGGATTTCATGCCTTGCAGAGTCTTCCTGAAACATTGTTCAAATGAAAATATTCTTGTTGTTTTCTTAAAAATTTGGTTAAATACTGTAATTCAGGAGCAGCAATTACTTTATCCTTCTGTAATGAACCTAAACCTAACTCTTACTTGAAAAAAATATTGAAACATCCACCGAATGGATTCACTGAATAAAACATTTGTGTACTCCACTGCCCAGCACTGATGAAAACTGCTTGTGATGTGTTCATATTTCACATGCTTCCTTTCTGTTGATTGGAAGGCATGTTTTGGTAAATTATTTCTATTAAATGCCTTTTCAAATTCCTAATATCCTAATTTTTCATCATTTAAAAATGATTATATATTTATTGCATTTTTATTTGGGAATTTTCATCTGTGAAAGCAGAATATGAAATTCTAGGAATTGTTTCTGAGTCACTAAATTAGCAAAATTAATTCTTCTAGTCTTAGGCAGAAAAGTGGTAGATGGTGTTTCCTTCAATCTTTCCTTCCATTGCTCTTTTCTCCTTCCTTCCCCCTTCATACTCCTTAAGGGCAGGAAGGATTGGGGTGATTCAGACTGGTATAATTGTAGATATCAGATTTTAGACTTGTAGTTAGAAATAAAGGCGGGTACTCTAAAAGAAGTTGCAAAACAGTAATCCTCAGGTTTAACCTTTGTAATGCTTGGTACTAATTTCATATAACCTTAACTAAAAAATATGTAGTAGTATGGGTGTTACAAACTATGGAGAGAAAGTCTTCTAAAACAGAAAAAAAAAAAAAGTCATGAAAATCTGTGTCTAAAGATTCATTACTATAACCCCTCTTTCATCCCCTGATGTGTATTATTAATGTCTATTAATTGTTGAAGTTTTTTTTTTATTTCTTAAAGTGGTTTCTAGAATATGCACCATTTGCTGTGAGTTTTTGTCTTTTGTAAACATGTCAGAAATAAGTGACTTAGGTAAAGTGGAATGTTATTTGAATGGTTAACAAGCATATTACTATCAATGAAAATGTCGATTAAGGTGTATTTACTTTCTTAATACTCTTTATCATTTTTATTTCAGTGGTTATGACATTCCTCTCAACCCTTTAAATCTCATTCCTTTCTATGCTGGTTCTCGGCATCACGATTTCCACCACATGAACTTCATTGGAAACTATGCTTCGACATTTACATGGTGGGATAGACTTTTTGGAACAGACTCTCAATTTACTGCCTACATTGAGAAAATGAAGAAGGTTGAGAAAAAGACTGAATAAGCATCTCACATAAACCTTCCTGCAGATACACATTTCCTGAATTGAAGCTAGTAGCTAACATTGCTTCTGGGGAGTGGAAATAAACATGTGTCTTGGTTGCTAAGTGATAAAAAGAACATTAACAACTTCTAATTATCTTCCTAGTGGGAACTTTTATATGTTTAAGTACAGTTTCCCTGAGGAAGCTTTAAAGGCCATGTTGCTAACTTTACAAAAAGGATTTAAGTAATGGAAGGAATATTAATGTATGTCTTTTTCCCAAGTTGTACCATAGGCCTGAAGCTGAAATTGGTCTTCAAACCTTTTAAATATGTAGTGGCCATTTCAAGAACTCTTAGTAGTACTGAACTTTAAACACTATTTTGGAATTTGCTTAAAGATCAGATGCCATGGGTTGAACCACACCAATCTGTATAGTGTGAGTGCTAACTCTGAAATAGCCAGCACCAGGAATTTCTGCTCTTATCTGGAGCTGACCAGTTTGGGGTGATTCTCTTTCTGAGAAGTCCTTTTTGACTGTAATGTACTACTTATCTATAAATTAAGGCATTTCTGAATTGATGAAAGACTTATTTTAGTCGAAAGGTTTTCAGGTTACTTGAATTTTTTAAACATTGAGCTTTATTTCTGCTATTTACCCTTTCTTTTTTGTATATCAAGTTTTCATTATACTTAAAGCTGTATCTTGAAACTTTGTGTACTGATTTGCTGTATTTGCACTTGGAGCTATTGAAATAAATGTGATTTTGTTTCATTATTTGGTTTCCAATTTTGAGCATCATTTGTCACCTTTTATTCTTTTCAGGAAAAGTACAGAAATCACTAAATTATTAAATTTTGTCATAAAAGGAATAGTTTTTATCTTTTTAAGTGCTTCATTTGCTAAACTTTTGGCAGTCTCAACATGTATTTATCAGGCTACCTATTGTGGGAAATTCTATTGACCTAATAAAATGGAGGATATCGAAGCAGCTCTTTTCTCCACTTAGAAAATGTAAAGAAGAATGGAGCTAAACTTTTTAGGGCTGGTTTAATTTTAAGTATCTAGAGTCTAATTTAAGGCAAGAGGTGATAATTCTAACTTTGTATACGGTAGTACCAAATTGTAATTTTTAAAAAACATGGAGCCATCTTCTGGTAAGTTTCTTTTTTCTTTTTTTTTTAACACTTATACAGTAAAGAGGTTCAAATAACAGTTGAGAAAGTTACAGCTGAGACTCTTGCTAGACCGTGTTTTCTAACTAGTACCTGGTTCTATGGCCTTTTTCATTCTCCCTTTCCAACCCTTACTGCTGTGTGTGTGTGTGTGTGTGTGTGTCTATTTAATCAATCTCTTAAATCTCAAACAGCAAGTTGGGGGCTGTACCTAAAACTGTGCTGTTTAGTTGTAAGGTATATAAGGGAATTCTTTTATCATCTGCTTTCATTCCCTAATACTCCTGGAACACACAGGTGTCTGAACTAACAGAAGGCAACTCCTTCCAGCACTTAGGGAGAGAGCGACACCTACTGTTGAAAATGGTGCTAAACATTTTTAAACAACTTGGTACATTCTAATTTTCTTTCATACTTAGTTACGTTTTACTGAGCACTGACAGTACACCCTGAATTGTGCATGGTCTCACTTATCGCTCTGACGTAGATGCCATTTTTTTCCATTTATATTTTTGGGAATTGTCTGAGAGGTGAAGTTACCTCAGACCCATGGGGCCAGACTTGACTTCAGAAGCCATGGTTGTGGCCATTACATTGACCATTCATGCACTGCAGACTTGCATCTGCGAAAATCTCAGGGGATACTTCCCAAATACCCCCTCATTCTTATGCACAGTCTTTAAGAAGACAGTTGAAAAGAAAGAAAGTTCTAAGCCAGTAGCCATCCAGAAAGTAGTAAGACTCATTCACAAGCACTTTAGTACAAATGGATTTTGATATGATTCACTGGCCAGACTTAAAGTTACCTGAATTAAGCGTTCTGTGTTTTAGCACTTGACGGTGAGACAGAAATAAATACGAAGACTAGAGTACAAAAACAATACATAAATCTGAGTCTATTCTAGAAAACGAGATTCTTTGTTTCTTGGATTATCTATTTTGGATTTTGCTAATGTAATTTGAAAGCTTAAAGTTAATATTGTAATTAAAATGGGTAGGATATGCTTAGAGCTAGCATCTACAAAGTCATAATTAACTAGAATTTCATTTTTTTCTATATAATCTAGCTAAAGACATGTAGACCTTTGGAAAAGCTTGGGTCTGCAATACTTAAATTCTCATCCCAACTTCCAATTCATAAACTCTCGCATAAAGCCTAGGGCTATTAAATTCCCCTAGCTGGAGAAAGACGCTGTTCAAGATCTTCATGCATGAGTGCACAGAGGGCTGTATGTTTGTCTCTGAGGATTTAGCTTCTAATCCATTCTTCGAAAAGATCAGAATCTTTCAGCTAATGTTCAGAAGAGTGACATGCCCTTCATCAAATGGTGGCTGTCAAATGTTGACATTCTTCCATAAAATCACCAGAGGACCATGGTAAAATGTCTTTACGACACACTTAGGAGTACTGTTGTGTTTCGAACATTGAAAGGAAGGATGTGAGAGGGTAGAACCCACTATATGAAATACTACCTTCAAACTATTGAGAAAATAAGCAAAAGTCAGGATGGGTGGAGGCTCACTGCATACTCGGGGGCTCGGAGCCCAAGGTACCTTCCCAGGAGACCTGCTCACAGGAGACTGAACCCATCACCAGGCAGGACAGGGAACTGAGATGCAGCTGCTGGGACAGCAGGCCTTGCCCCTTGGCTCCAGGGAACTGGTCCACTTCCTAGAAAGCCCTTCCCCCTCCTGCTACTCTACATTGATTTCCTCATCCGTGAAATGAGGATGATAACATTTCATAGGGAGTTTGTGAGGATTAGTAAGACGCTCCATGTGAAGTATGTGTTGCTGTGCACAATAAACGTTAGCTATCGTGTTATAAATTCCCTCCCCTTCTCTAATGAACCAGCTCCAGCCTCCCCACCCCAGCCCCACCTTCCTTACCGAGGTCCTATCCCTGCTTCAGGTGACAGCAACCTCTCGCCACTCTCCCTCACTCCTCGTTCTGCATCACTCACCTCTATCACACCTCAGCACGTGCTGCCTTGTATTGCTACCTCTTTTAATCCAAAGATTTCTATTTTGCACTATGTAATTTCATTCTCCTGTACCTTTGCTCATGCTAATCTCTTAGCCCAAAACAGGCTCAGTGAGGGTTATTAATAAGGTCAAAGTCATGCAGGTCATGAGTGGCTGCACTGACTGCAGAGCTGGGACTTTGCTATTCTCCATCTTTCCTTCCGTATCCTCTGTTCACCTGGCGCGATGCCTTGTACATGGTAGGAGTTCAAGAAATGTCTTACTGATTTTTTTTTTTTTTTGCGGTACGCGGGCCTCTCACTGTTGTGGCCCCTCCCGTTGCGGAGCACAGGCTCTGGACGCGCAGGCCCAGCGGCCATGGCTCACGGGCCCAGCCGCTCCGCGGCATGTGGGATCCTCCCGGACCGGGGCACGAACCCGTGTCCCCTGCATCAGCAGGTGGACTCTCAACCACTGCGCCACCAGGGAAGCCCCTTACTGATTTTTAAAAGGGGAGAATATTGTAACAGCAACTTAATGTAGGATTTGGCAATTACATTGCCATTTAAACAATCAATTCAGAAAGTTTTAAATAATAACAGCATATAGTGGGGGTGCCAGAAGAGAGAGAGAGGGGTGTTTGATGTGCACTCCAAAGCCAGAGCCAGATGTGGGGCTGCCGGGGCCAGTTGAAGTCTGATTGCATGCTGATACCGCGGGATCCTAAGGTTTGACTTAATAAGTGCAGATTCTCATGGGATGTGCAGCTTGATGTGTTCTTTTAGGGAACAAATTACAGGTTAGAGGGCGTGTGTGTATTTAACTTGAACAAAGACTGTATCTACCTGATAAGGAAAATGTAAAACTTTGTTTAGTCTTTTGGAAGATTTGAGCCAGACTTCTTGTATTCCATGAAGAGTCTCTGAGGGCTTCCCTTGTGGCACAGTGGTTAAGAATCCGCCTGCCAATGCAGGCGACACGGGTTCGATCCCTGGTCCGGGAAGATCCCGCATGCCACGGAGCAACTAAGCCCGTGCACCACAACTACTGAGCCTGCGCTCTAGAGCCCGCGAGCCACAACTACTGAGCCTGCACACCTAGATCCCGTGCTCTGCAACAAGAGAAGCCTGCAATGAGAAGCCCGAGCACCGCAACAAAGAGTAGCCCCCACTCACTGCAACTAGAAAAAGCCCGCATGCAGCAACAAAGACCCAACGCAGTCAAAAATAAATTAAAAAAAAAAAAGTCTCTGAGATTTCTTTTGCTAGAAAATAATTCATCTGCTAGAAGAAGGTAAAAACGAAGCCGTGAGAATAAAGCAGGGGCCACTCCTCAGGGGTAGGTGGCACACCATTAACATGCTAGGGGGCTTCAGAACAACTCAATTCTTGCACTCCTTTATCAAGCGAAAGCCATGTTCAAGGTGGAAAAGGAAGCAAAATAGCCCTGTTGAGAGGGAACTGAATCCCAATATAGCGGAGGAGATATTTCATCAAGCACCTAATAGATTTAAATTAACTTTGAAGTTTCCAGCTTCAAATGAGTTACATTTCTGAGGAGGGAAAGGATTTGAAATGTGATTCTGAAACCATTTTAGACGATCAGGCAGCACTCCATCTTTTCAGACTTTGTGTTTTTCTGTAGGTTGGTTTCAGTTTCTCCAGAGAAGAATTTCCTAATTTGTCTGGGGAAGAATATGCCCAGATGCCATCATTCTGGGGATCAGGTATGGAAAGGGGACCTAGGTCCCCAAGTTCAGCAGGTGCCCTTTCACAAAATCCTTCTGTTCTCAGCCTCATGCCCACCTCACACGAGGCCTCCCCAGTATCTAGAGAGTCCTGAGCCTCTCTTGTTCAATTTCTATTCAACTTCTCCAGAGAATAAACCTGCTCCCTAGGAGGGGTGGCCATGCAGAGCTGGGGAAGAGGCCTGTGACCTAAAGCCTTTGTGAACAGAGTTCTGAATAGAGATTGCAATGCTGGATGTCAGTATTTTTCAATACTCTGTTAGAAAGTTTTAATTTAAGTACATCATACAAACAAAAGCCCACAGCTTGATGAATGATCACATCCATGAGTCACTATCCAGATCAAGAACTTGACTACCTCCTTGATCACTTTTGACCAGGAATATAGTTATAGTTATTATATAATATAATATAGTTATAATATTCTTACCTGGTTGAACAACTGAATACAAATTATCTTGATTAATGAGAGTTTCTAGTATCGTGACAGGGGACTTTGCTGTGGCCTTGTCCTGTTAAACACATGTATCTTCCTTGCATAATGCCATTGAAGGTGAGCTTATCAAATTTATGATCAAGGCAAAGGAAAAACAGAAAGCTAACGCTCTGTCCTACATGACAGAGTCAAGAACCAATAAATTTTTGCCTTCATTTAAGGATCAGCTGTTCAAATGGAGGTTGAGAGTTACAGACTTGGATTAATAGCAACACATATCCAAAAAACTTAAGAATTTTAGTAGACTACAGGCACTAACTTACCCCAATGTTAAGACAATCTTAAACTGAATTATTGGCAAGCCCAAACTGCAGAGAAGGTAATCAATCATCTTATTTGACTGCTTGGTTGGCTGCACACGGAAAAGCATATCATGTTGATTGTGGTGCATTTT